GGCCAACTTCGCCAGGGTTGCTGCACCACTGACGCAGCTGACACAAAAACATGTGCCATTTGACGGGTCGCCTGAGGCCGAAGCAGCATTCGTCAAGCTGCAGGACGTGCTGACCTCGGCACCAGTGGGGGCTCTGACTCGCTTTGAAGGCGAAGCAAAACCATTCATCCTGGACATGGACGCATCCGACCATGGGATAGGAGCCTGCTTTCTACAGGTGCAACATGTGCAAGAGAGGGCGATAACCTACGCAAGCGCTACCTTCCCAAAAAGCCAGAAAAATTTGTCGGTGACAAAACGAGAGCTTCTCGCGGTGGTCACGTCTGTGACGCAATTTCTTCACTTCCTGCTGGGACGGAAGTTTGTGTTGCAAACCGACCACAGCAGCCTTCAATGGTTGTTCAACTTCAGCGATCCCCAGGGGGTGCTCGCCCGGTGGCTGGAAACACTGGGTAATTTCCAGTTTACTGTGGTCACCGCCCCGGTCTGGCCCATGGCGATGCCGACGGCATGTCCCGTATGCCACTGCCGACCCGAGAGGACGTCTCCCAGGCAGCTCAGTCCGTCCAGGAAATTTCGTTTTCTCGTGACCGCGAAGCTGCCGTGAATGCGATTGACGCCGTCCCCGCCGCCGCCGCCACAGGGAGCGGGAATGCCCTGCCCCTTCTCCATGGCGAGTCTCTCGGTGTCGCGGAGCCCGCCGTCGCCGCCCCGGACCCAGTCAGAGAGCGGGACAGTCGGGCGCCCGGCGCCGCGGCAACGACAATCCGGGCAGCGTCTGGGCCAGCCGCACAGAACCCCTCTCCCAGCAACATGGCAGACACTGCCCACAGGGACGACTCGCCAAATGCGACATCCTGGCCAACTGCCTTCCTGCGAGAGGGGCAAATAAAAGACTCGGCAATGTCTACCGCCATGCAGTGGGTCATAGACAAGGAAAACCCCTCGGGCCCTCCAGCAAATCCCCGCGAGAAAGCTTTGTGGAGGCAGTATGATCGTCCCAAGCTATCAGAAGGTCTACTTTGTCGCACTGTGAGGACAGGGCTAAAAAATACTGAACAATTCCAAACTATCCTGCACAACCAGCTGGTGAACGGAGTTCTGGAATCAATGTATGCGGGTCCGACAGGCGGACTCAACGCCCAGAAACTCACAAAAACCATTCATAACCGGTTCTGGTCCTCGTGACTGGATGCTGTCGCCTCAAAGTTCTGTCAAACGTGCGAAAAGTGTGACACTCGCAACATGCCGACGCCTAAACCGCGCGCTGCCCTGGGCAACCTGAGTGCCGAAGCGCCCCTCGAAAAAGTGGCAATCGACATGCTGACGCACGCACGTGCCAAAGGCTGATGACGGGTACACGCATCTGCTCGTGGTGATAGACCATTTTACGAAGTGGGTAGAGGTGTATCCCTTGAAAACTCAGGAGGCTGACGAGGTGGCTCCTGTTCTGGTCAAAGAATTTATCTCACGCTGAGGCGTGCCACAATGGTTTAATTCCGATCAAGGAGCAAACTTATGTGGTAAGGTGATCAAAGAAATGTGCCGTCTGCTGATGATCAGCAAAATACAGGTGCCACCGGGTTGGCCGGCCGGAAACAGGGTGTGCGGGAGGTTTAATCGGGTCATACTCGACATGCTCTCGCGGTGCCTCGATGGTAGCCATCGCGAATGGAAAGAACATCTTCCACTGCTCCTCCTCGGCTATCGCGGTGCAGTGCATGACAGCACAGGCTGCAGCCCGTACCTCATAATGATGGGGAGAGAACCGCGACTGCCGGCCACGGTCAGTATCGGGTCTGCAGCGACCGCTGAAACAGAACATGAGACGCTCTCGGCCTGTGTGGATCACCTCCGCCTGGGACTGCAGAAAGCGTATAACGTACAGAGGCGACCATCGCCGCAAACCGAGGTCTGCACGGTGGCAAGTTCAAGCCGTTCCCCTGCCAGGCGGGTGACGCGGTGTACCTGCTCCGGAGGTGTACCTGCTCCGGAGGTGTACCTGCTCCGGAGGTGTACCTGCTCCGGAGGTGTGCCTGCTCCGGAGGTGTACCTGCTCCGGAGGTGTACCTGCTCCGGAGGTGTACCTGCTCCGGAGGTGTACCTGCTCCGGAGGTGTACCTGCTCCGGAGGCGTACCTGCTCCGGAGGTGTACCTGCTCCGGAGGTGTACCTGCTCCGGAGGTGTACCTGCTCCGGAGGTGTACCTGCTCCGGAGGTGTACCTGCTCCGGAGGTGTACCTGCTCCGGAAGGTGCCCGCCCGAGGCGAGCGTCACAAGGCCGTCCGGCCCTGGTGGTGCCTGCACAAGCAGGTGAGCTAAACTACCGCACTCAGCTGTGTGACGGCAGGTGCAGGAAACTGGTGGCTTATCACAATCGGTTGAAGCCGCGCAACGACAACACTGCGGGGCAACACCAACACACCGGACTGCGCCGGCCGCGGCGCCGCACAGCCAAACAGCACAGTCGCAGCGTCAGGTGCCGACTCAGGCAGTCACGCTAGCACCGGCGTACCGATGTCGATAGACGGACAGCAGACAGCTGTACGGGCTGAACCAGCAGCACCATTTTTGTCTGCTAGTGACGCAGGGGACTGACGTGGCTGGGTGTCCACCTGAGGAGCCTGAGGCCGCCAATTTCGCTCCAACCCAAACGGCGGCTGCGAATCAGCCGGCAGAGGCGAAACTGCGAATCCCACACCAGCCCAGGCCGCGGTTGAACCGCCTGACGAGCCGGCGACAGCAGCGATACCGATCCCGCGCACTACCCCGGCGCGCGGGTCACGCATCCCGCAGCCCGCCTCGCCACTGTCCTTCCGTAACCTGATGCGAACCAATGAATCACCACAAAGTCCGAGTCCCCATTCGAATGCGTCAGGTCCCAGATCCCTGTGTCTGTAGGGCAACCGTCTTCGAACAGTCACCGCGAACAGCGGAGCGCCCGAGTGAGACAGCCTCCTGATCGATTTAGCGCATGATTTCGATAGCATAAAATTCATGGTGTATTTGTATTGTTTGTGTTAACATGTTATTTAAGTCAGTTGCAATGACGTGACAGATATCGTTTAAGGGCCTGTCTTGCTGTGCACGTTGAGTTAGGTTCGTGAGATGTGTTCATGATGCCATGGATTGTTCATTGTGTCGTGACCGAATGATTCAACGAGGAGGGCATTCTTCTCTTAAGAAGGGTGTAGTGTAAGGTGTCAGAGAACACCTACGTGCTGCTAATGAATATTCGCTTAGCCTGGCGAAGCGCCGCTTCGAGGCGCTCGCGTTCCCCTCCTCCTGCACCAGGCACCCCGCCCGAGGGAGGCGACGGCGGGGCTAGGAGAGGTGAAGTAATAAGGAGAAGACTCGGAGAGCCGCCGGCGCGACGACGGACACGCCGGAAGCGAGGCGGATTGTGTGGAGTGCCTGTGACGCTTGTCAAATACAGCAGTGAGTTGGAACGTGCTGAGTGTACCAGTGAGCCGGAAGCGAGGCGGACTGTGTGGAGTGCCTGTGACGCGTGTCAAATACAGCAGCGAATTGGAACGTGCTGAGTGTACCAGTGAGCCGGAAGCGAGGCGCCAGAACAGAGAACTTATAAATACAAAAGCTCGGAATCAAGTCCGGGCTTGGCTTTGATGGTTGATGGCAGCCAGCTCAAGTTTATTTCGCCTGTCGTTTCGAAACACCTCATGTGTAAGGACCAAAATGTCAGCATAAATGACCGAAATGTAAGGACATTTTTGGAGCGGCCCCGAAAGTCCAGGGGGCCCCACAATGTTGCGTGCCTCCCCCCTCCCCCCCCCCCCATGACAAAACCTGGATCCGCCCATGAACCCACATATCATGTCCATGCTGTCACCACTGATCTGTGACGTCAGCACTGGTATAGTACAGTTTGTAGTACATACACGCCACCTGCTAAAAACTACCCTGATTAAAACTACTGCGTTTCGCAGCATCTTTTGGCCCAGCTTGCTTATGGAACGAAACGTTGACGTTTCGGCACGTGCGCTACACAAGCCCACGCTGCAAGCGTCAGCGAGTACAGACCAATACTGAGCTTTGTATTTCGTCTGGCTGGTATGCTCTGTTGTGATATGGTCCTGTCTGTTGTAATTTGTTTCCACTTCCGTAATTTTCCTATCAATTGACTCGCAAAAGTGTCCGTTGCTGTCATTGATCATATCCGATAAATCAGAAGCTTTTTTCACTCGTCTGTAACGGTACTCTTTAATCGCCCTACAGAGGCTTTCGTGTGTTATTCTGCTATTTTTAAAACGTGGCAGCAAGCATTCGCAAACCCAGAGGTGACGCGCAGATAGCCGAACATAATATTCACTTCGCTTCCTTGGTACTGTTGTTTCTTGATAAATTAAGCAGTTGTTCCAGGCTCTTGATGCGCACGTCTCTCAGGCGTCAACTTCAGTGCAGCCCCCGCAAGTCTCCTGCTCAGAAGAAACGGATTGGCTTCCCGCCGAAGCTGCCTCTGCCATTGTGAATACTGCGCACCTCGTCCGCCCCGTTCCATAAAGCGTAACGGCACGCACGTGGCATACTTTTATTAGTCCATCATACGCGTTTGGAATCCGTTCGGCGCGCGTGTCCGGCAGCGGTCCCCAGCGCGTTTGAACGGCCCAAACCCAGTCGCGACGCGGGGAGACTCATGATTCTCAGTTGTATTGCTCGGTGCGGTTAGGTGTCATCCTCTCCGCCCGTTGGGCCAACAGATCGGCCGAAGCTAGGCCCCGAGGACCCGGGCCCAGTCCCCACAGAACCGCCGGGCCTGCTCTCCCGACACTCCGCTCATAAATATCGGTAGAGAAGATATGACCGGGCGGCACGACGGGCGACGGGCTGCCGCCAGCTGACGCCTCTCGTTCCGTGACGTCACGCCGCGGCATGGCAGGAATGATGCACATTGTACACTGGAGCCGGTCCGTGACGGACGCGCGCCGGCCAAAACGGCTCGCTCAAAATACCCGACAGCGGCGGGAACTCGCCGGCGCGGTATCACAGGTTGGCACGATGTCTTTGCAGGCCACGGACGGCTGTGGCAGGCCGGGTCGGCTCGCGTCGCACGGCCAACGCCCGCCAGGTGGCGACCGCTCCCTCCGCCGGCGCAAAAGCGCCCGGTCGCTCCCGCCGCAGGCGCAGGCGGGGTCGGCCTGCACGGGGCGGCCTGGCGCCGCCCACACGCCGGCTACATGAGCATGCAGCCGCCCGGCTCCGGGTCGGGCTCGGGGCGGCGGTCGGTTCCGGCGGCGGCGGTGGCGCCGGCGGCCGTGGTCGTCTCGGGCTCCGGCTCGGCGGCGGCCGGCTCCTGCTCCGGCTCCGGCTCCTCGGTGAGCGTCGAGCCCGAGCCGGCGCCGCTGACGGTGCGCGAGCGGGTCGACGGCAGCGGTGCCAGCCGCTCCGTCAGCGACGGGCTCTCGGCCAGCAGCTGGCGGCCGACCACCTGCAGGAACGGCTGGTACCCGACGCTGCGGCACAACCGGCGGCCGTTAGCAGCGCATAGAAAACAGAGGAACGGTGGGTGGAACGGTCAGCTACCTTCGCAGACCGCATCGCGGCCACACCAGCAAAGCGCACTGCGCGGCATCCGGACGCACTCTGGATGATACAGCCGCTGAACGCGTGTCGAGCGGGATACATCCCCACACAGCATGTGCGACACACTTAACGGCTACCTCTGGAGCCCCGGTTCACAGCATCAGCGTCGGCGCGTGTCGACACCAGCGCGCCGCGCGCCGCGAGCCGCGGTTCACATCGGGCGAGCGTCACGCTCGGCCGGCCCGCTGCTGCGTACGCACCACTCGGTGGTGGTCCAGGCGTGGAGGGCGCGCAGCCCGGCCTGCAGCCGGCCCAGGCCGTCCGAGGCGCCCGTCAGGTGGACGGTGCGCACCACGGCCATGGCGTCCCGCAACACGATCGAGATGAGCAGCGCCCACTCCACACACTCGGCCTCTAGCATGATCTGCAGCAGGTACCTGGGAAGCAGACGGCGCTGTGAGCGAGCTGGCGACACCTGCGTACCGTGCTCGACCAACTGGACCCATCAACGGACCACCGCTGACCTGAGCTACACCTCATCCTGCCGTGGCTGACCTGAGCTGCACCTTAGCCCGCTGCGTGTCCCTGCTGACCTGATCTGCACCTCATCTTGCTGCATGTCCCTGCTGACCTGAGCTGCACCTCATCCTGCTGTGTGTCCCTGCTGACCTGAGCTGCACCTCACTCTGTTGCGTCCCTGCTGACCTGAGCTGCACCTCATTCTGTTGTGTCCCTGCTGACCTGAGCTGCACCTCACTATGTTGTGTCCCTGCTGACCTGAGCTGCACCTCAGTCTATGGTGTCCCTGCTGACCTGAGCGGCATCTCCACCTGCTGTGTATCTCTGCTGACCTGAGCTGCACCTCAGTCTGTTGTGTCCCTGCTGACCTGAGCTGCACCTCCGCCTGCTGCGTGCCTCGCGCTGCCACGTCCAGCTGCAGCAGTTGGCCGCCGCAGCCGTTGGTGGGCGTCTCCAGCGGCGTCACGTCCTCCTCCGCCCAAGTGGAGGATCCCTCCTCGCTCATGATGCTGGCGCTGTCGGCGCCGCCTGGCGGACCGGAGGTCTCGGGGTCACGGCGGGCGCGCCAGGTGCAGCCAGACACGTAACACCGGTAACGGCGTCAGCTGAGATCCTCACGCCCGTCACCAACACTCCGCGAAACTGGCGTGATGAGTGTAACAATGACATTACATGTCCTGAGACACTTCGAACCCGGATGTCGGCGACGCACGGTTTCAGCGATCATAGATGGCATGTAGCATAAGGCGACCTTGACCTTCACTGTCACGGGGAACCCCTGAGCGCCCGCCGTAAAAAATCAGCTTTCCTGACCGCCCGGGCGTCGCTGCGGAGCGGGCCGGCCGGGCGTGAACCTGACCTCGCGTGACGTGTGGCAGCAGACGGGCGTCCTGGGTGACCGGCGAGGGTGTCTCGGCGGGCGGCGGCGGCGCCGGCCCGGCGCGCGCCGCCTCGCTCAGGTAGCCGCTGTCGCCAGTGTGCACGTGCAGCGCGTGCAGCCGCTTCGTCCAGCTGGACGGCCGAGTCGGCCGAGTCCTTGCGTTCGCCGGCGGCCAGGAAGAAGCCCAGCGGCTGCGGCGGTACAGGATATGGCCACTGGAAATCCAGGTGCAGCCGGCGCAGCGCTGCCACCAGGTCGTCGACGAGCGCGGCGCGCCAGCGCTCGCGGCGCAGCCACTCCACCAAGTGGAACTCCATGTGGGCGGCGAAGCTGCCCAGGTCGCGCAGCCGCCACTTGGTCAACAGCTTGCGGGCGTGACGCTCCAGCACCTGTCGGTGCGCGGCGCCAGGTTGGTTGCGGGTGGGGCCGGCTGGGTGAAAACACGCCGGCAGTGCTGTGAATGACTGGTGTGTCTATTTGTACGCACAGAAACTCTTTTGATGACGACTTGGGCGCTGGGGCGCACCGACTACGTTGGTCATACGGTGCCCATACAGAAACTCATTTTTTCTTCGAAATAAATCTTTGTTGCTCTTTACGTGTGGGTCTTCCGTGGACGATACTGCTATATCCTTCACACACATGTCAGCATATCAATTACTGGCAAGTCGTTTGCAGAAAACGATCCCTGCGTGGCAAAACGGTGCACAAGGCCCTCCGGAACGACATCAGGCACGCCGATCCCCCCGCACCCCCCCGTCCCAGCGGGTCTTCGGGCGCTGCGGCTCACCTGGTCGATGAAGAGCCGCTGCTGGCCGAGCTCAGCGGCGTCGGTGCGCTCCTGGCCGGCTGACTTGCGCCGCACGGCCCGCTGGTCGCTGTTGGTGCGCGTCACCTCCTTGTGCTCCACACGCGGGTTGGCCGAGGTGCTGAGGCTGCGGCCGCGCACCTGGCGGCGACCAGAGCCGGCGCTCAGGGGTGGCAGGGACCGGCACGGCAACCGGGGCCGGCGCTCAGGGGTGGCAGGGACCGGCACGGCGACCGGGGCCGGCGCTCAGGGGTGGCAGGGACCGGCACGGCGACCGGGGCCGGCGCTCAGGGGCCGGTGCTCAGGGGTGGCAGGGACCGGCACAAACCGGCCCAGCGCCGCTGACTCGCTCAGTCGCCTCGGGGCCGCCCCACAGTCCCGACCAGCGGCCCCCTGGTGCGGCTGCTGGCCGCCGTACCTGCAGTGTGCCGTACACCAGCGAAAGGTCCTCCTCGTTGGGCGACACGGGCGGCGTGACGTGCGACAGCTGCTGCCTCAGCTCCCGCGGCGACTCCAGATCGGACGGGTCTGACAACGCGGACAGCCGGGGGAGCGGCTCAGGTCGGCACAGCGCCTCGCGTGCCCCGTTGGCCACCAAATGGCAAGGTATACCGCATCAGACCCCACAAAGACTCACGTACGTAGCAGCCGCAATCGGGGGGGGGGGGGGGGGGGGGAGGGGAGGGGGCATCTGATCCGCCAGTGTTTCCGAGCTCAAAGTCAGTCAGTAAACAGTGCACAGGACACTCAGTAATGCATATAAGACATGCAGCTTATGCACATGGCCGTTGAACTCCTGTAGCGTGTGAGCCGAGCCCACAAACAGGACGCTGCAGCGGGTGACGACTGCACGACGTGACGGACGACGCTGCAGCGCCGCCGGGGTAGACCACGACCGTCGGGCCGCGGGGCGTGGCACGCGCCGGAGCCCCGACAGCCGCAGTCCTCGTCCGCTGAGCGACGGCCGGCCCGGTCCGTACCGATGGCTCTGAGGAAGCGTGTGAGGTCCTTCGCCAGCCGCCAGCGACAGCTGTCCAGGCTGGCGTCCAGCAGCAGGGTGACGTAGTGGCGGCTCGTCTCGGCCGTCTCCAGGTTCTGGGGAGGGGCACGTCTCAGACGGCGCCTGACAGCTGATGGACACCATGCACCCATGGCGCACCAGTGACGAACAACTCTCTAGCACAGCATTTGTGTCGTATTGTGAGCAAAATCAATAACGCGCCGAACTATCTAGCAAGCCATAATGCAAGGCAAGATAAAACATCAAACGACAAAATAAAAAAAAACAAAGGCACGATAAAGATAAATCCAGACATATCGTCCTACAGTTCAAGGCATACTAATTTCCAACACAATGCTTATCAAAGCCTCAACTCCCGACAGAGCGATGCTCCACTGAGCGCCGTCAGATCAGCCTCGCCCGCCCCTGGCGGGTGCCCAGCGCCAGCGCCCACGCTCCGTCCGTCGCCCGCCGCCGCCTCACCTGCAGGATGATGAGGTAGGACGCGGCCGTATCCAGCTGCTGCAGCCGCAGACACTGCTGGAACAGTTGCACCGGCTGGCCGGCCGACGCGAACAGGTAGGACCACAGCGCCATTTCGGTCTTGCGCGCGCACCGCACCACCGTGTCCAGGTAGACGGGGAACTCGCGGATGAACTCGATGACACGCGGCAGCAGCGCGTCCGGGATCGGCTCCTTGGAGGTGGCCTCCTCCTCCACCACCTGGCCAGGCGAAGCCGATGGTGAGCTCGATTCGAACCATCTCGCACGTCGCACCCACAACGCCACGTCGCTCCGTCGGCGACGCGGTAACGTAGGTAACGAGCAATCATCCCCTGAATAGCCATGACGACACCGCATGGCACTTGGCGAAATGCGAACTCACGGATCTGAGCTCAACGCACTCGAACGTATACCGTGCATATCACTACTGCATGTACAACACCAAGGCCTCTTCAGGCTTTTACTGCAAGCGTTTTGCACTGCTCTGACGTTAGCTTAGTCCTGCTGACACGCCGCTGCGTGACCACTGCGATGGTGAGCGCGGCCGCGTCGCGCCGTGCCCGATTACCTCGTGCAGCAGCAGCTCGAGCGCGTGCGAGAAGTAGGGCAGGTGTGTGTAGCGGTGCGCGATCTCCCAGGCGTGGTAGCCCAGGTTGCGCCGCAGCAGCTGGCGCAGAATGTGCTGCAGGTACACCTGGCTCTGGCGGCCGAGAGGCGGGCGGTGAGGACAGACGGCGGGCCTGGGTTGGGAGGAGTGCGGAGCAGCCGGGTACGACAGCCGGGGACGGCAGAACACCGACACCGACCGGACTGACGTCATTTGGCGCCCGGTCACTGACTCAGTCACGTCCAAGCACGGACCACACTTAGCTCAAGTGGGTGGCGCTAACGTGCTGAGACAGGGCGCTCGCCAAGCCAGTGTGTACAACTGAAGACCAGCGGTCCCAAGAGCCGCGCGGGCCCGCTGCCGAGGCGGCCGTGGCGTGTCTCCGGCACGGGCGGCGGCCGTGGCGCGTCTCCGGCACGAGCGGCGGCCGTGGCGCGTCTCCGGCACGAGCGGCGGCCGTAGCGCGTCTCCGGCACGAGCGGCGGCCGCGGCGCGTCTCCGGCACGAGCGGCGGCCGCGGCGCGTCTCCGGCACGAGCGGCGGCCGCGGCACGTCTCCGGCACGAGCGGCGGCCGCGGCGTGTCTCCGGGACGGGCGGCGGCCGTGGCGCGTCTCCGGCACGAGCGGCGGCCGCGGCACGTCTCCGGCACGAGCGGCGGCCGCGGCGCGTCTCCGGCACGAGCGGCGGCCGCGGCGCGTCTCCGGCACGAGCGGCGGCCGCGGCACGTCTCCGGCACGAGCGGCGGCCGCGGCACGTCTCTGGCACGAGCGGCGGCCGCGGCACGTCTCCGGCACGAGCGGCGGCCGTGGCGCGTCTCCGGCACGAGCGGCGGCCGCGGCGCGTCTCCGGGACAGGCGGCGGCCGTGGCGCGTCTCCGGCACGAGCGGCGGCCGTGGCGCGTCTCCGGCACGAGCGGCGGCTGTGGCGCGTCTCCGGCACGAGCGGCGGCCGCGGCACGTCTCCGGCACGAGCGGCGGCCGCGGCGCGTCTCCGGCACGAGCGGCGGCCGTGGCGCGTCTCCGGCACGAGCGGCGGCCGTGGCGCGTCTCCGGCACGAGCGGCGGCCGCGGCACGTCTCCGGCACGAGCGGCGGCCGCGGCGCGTCTCCGGGACGAGCGGCGGCCTCGCTGCCGCGGCGCCGCCCTTGGCGTCAGCTCGGCTCACCGTCCGCTCCACGGCGCAGTACGGCAGCCGACCGCAGCCGGAGCCGGGGAACTCGACCGTGTCGTTCTCGGCGCCCAGGATCACGGCGTCGTCGTACTTGACGGCTGCAGGCCGGACAGGAGACGGCGTGAGTCGGGTGCGGTCACCACAGCGACGGCCGCCGGCCACCCCGTCAACACAGACGGCCGCGCGCGACACCAGGACGCCAAAACAGCCCGCTCGATACAAAGGCAGGCAACGGGACGACCGCACGGTGTTTGACGCTTAGCGACGCGTCCATGATGAGACCATTTTGGCAGGTGCTCGCACAAAAACCGCACGGTGTTTGACGCTTAGCGACGCGTCCACGATGAGACCATTTTGGCAGGTGGTCGCACAAAAACAACCACGCAATTCGCCGCACGTTAAACCTGAAACAGCGCGGGACGGGCCTCGAACCAGTCTAGCCACAGCAGAGTTCGGCGGGCGAGCGTGACGGCCCAACATCGCCGCGCGTGGCGAGTCACACTCCGGCTGCTCACCGAGCGGGTAGATGCTGCACTGGAACGGCAGCATAATCCGCTTGGACATGAAATTGTGTGCCTTGCCGTGCTGTGGGAAGAGCGGCAGCCACACGCGCATGCCGTGCTGGCCGCTGTTGATCCAGAGCACGTCGGCCAGCTTCATGCGGTGCGACATGGTGCCCGGGCACCACACAGACTCCACCATGGAGGCCAGCACCGTCGGCGTCAGCACCGACGAGCCGAACTGCCGGACAGGTCAGCGGCAGGTCAGCGGCAGATCCGCGTCATGTCAGCGTCAGATCCGCGTCGTGTCAACGTCAGCCAGCATCATGTCAGCGTCATGTCAGCATCAGATCAGCGTCAGGTCAGCGTCAGATCCGCGTCATGTCAGCGTCAGGTCAGCGTTAGGGCACAGGTACCAAGGATAGAACCTGCGGGGTCCAGCGCACCTCCAGCGCATCTCACGCTCCAGCGAGCTAGGCAACCTCCCCAAATACCTCGGCTAGGCAACCTCCCCAAATACCACCAACGTCAGGTGGCCGTGCTTAGAATTGGTCGTGTCTGTCCAGAGGACATGGTCCGACAAACCGTATAATCCGCGTCCGCATACCCTCAATCCCATCAGTCTGCCCGCCTGTACAGCCCAAGTGCGTGCACCCACCGTACATCCCATACGCGCCACGCGCCGCCTTCGCCGCGCCCTCACCATTTTGGCGGCGGCCTCGACGGGCCGACCGGCCTCCTCCGGGTCGCGCTGGAGCATCAGCAGTCGGCCGCAGATGTTGACCAGGATTGACTGGGCGATCGGCGAGCGGTGGCGGCTCGGCTCCATGCGCAGCGTCGACATCGACACGGAGACGACGCAGGCCGGGTGCGCCGTCAGCGCCGAGATGTCGATGTCCTGGATGCGGCGCACCTCGGCCACGGTCGGGTCGGCTGCCGGTCGGCCAGCGCGCCGGTCAGAAGCGGGGCACCCCGGCGGACGCCATCTGCCCGGGGGGAGGGTCGGCACGGCGCGGACGCCAGGTGAGGTGCCGACACAAGCGCCGGGGTGCCCTCGTCCGTTTCAACCACAACCAAGATCAATATCGCTAGTCGACTTTGATTATTTCGCGACGCATCACACTTGTGCAAACAACGCGCATGGAAATACCGGCTGGAATGAGAACTGTTTATGAGAAAGCGGACGACAGCTGGTAGCGAATCTCAAAACTAAGTTACTGCCGTGAGGTTTCACTGATGCTTTCTTGCGGTCATCTCGCGGGCTGAGAATAATTGAAAAATGAGTTGGCGCTCACTTTATCCCCCCCCCCCCCACACACACACATCGTGAGGGTCTGCTATGCACCTACCTGGACGTGGTAGAGCGAGAAGTGTCCTAAAGAAGGGTCCCACCTATCGAGGCTCTCCTGGATGCGGTGGAGCGAGATAACCTAGCACCTACCGGGGCTCTCCTGGATGTGGTAGAGCGAGATGTGTCAGCACCTACCGAGGCTCTCCTGGATTTGGTAGAGCGAGATGTGTCAGCACCTACCAAAGCTCTCCTGGATGTGGTAGAGCGAGATAAGCTAGCACCTACCGGAGCTCTCCTGGATGTGGTAGAGCGAGATGTGGCTGTCGGCCGAGTAGGCGATCAGCGTGTCCTGGTACAGGTTGAGCAACAGCACCTGCGCGTCCACGGGCGTCACCTGGACGAAGGCGTTGTCCAGACGCGACTCGCGCGGGTAGAGCCGGATCTCGTCCCTGCGAAGGCGCCGCATCAGACGGGCGCGCGAGCGCCGACCGTAGCCAAGATGACCAAGCACGCACAGGCGAATGGATCACTGGCCTATCGGTGGAATGCCCCGATGCACTGCGTCTTTCACAGTGCCCCAATAGAAAACATCTTTGCTGAAACAAAACAAGATCGTGAGGAGAAGGATTAATCGTGGAAGCGCGCATTCAGACACGTCATCTTTGCAGAAGGCATGCCCGAGCTCTCGAGGCTTCGGTTTCGACTTCAGGTTTGGAGGATATGACGGGCAGTGGCGACCGCGTGCCTGGGCCAGCGCAGAGCCGGGAGCGTGGCTCCCCACACAAGGCCCGTCCGCACCCGGCCGACAATGTGGTACAGGTACGGAGCCGTAGTATGAAGGCGCTCACCGCACGCGGCGCGCGCGGCTCACTGCGACCGGCTTTGAGGATCCAGTCGCGTGTTGTGGATCTGGCAAACAACATTTAATCCTTCCACGAATGGCGTCGCGTGAAGTGATTTCTCGATTGGCGTTAGAGCGAAGTCCGGTTGAGCAACGTTTGTGTCGACGATGAGCTCACCAGCCTGACAGTAAAAACTCGGGACGATCTGGACCAGGCCTGTACAGCAAATACTTCTAGTAATCTTGACATGACATGCAAAGCCGTGAGGCGACCACCTGAAGGAGTGTTCCACTCCTTGCCGGTGAAATGAGACGCCGTGGGTGGAGGTCGAACACACTGCGCCGGCCAGTGTCCACAAGCCACCGGCGCGTTGGTTATCACATGACCAGCACGACACACATCGCGAGCACACCGTACAATGCACCATCGCAAATACGCATCGGCAAGGCTCGCTAAAACATTACATAAATCGCACAGCCGAATCATGCAACACTCAGCTACTCCAGCCCTCACCATGCTGCCAAGCCACGCTGCTTCACGCACAAAAAATGTCACATTTTCACGCGAAAAGCGACGTTTCACTGCGCCGCCGGCAGGGCCCCACCCGGAGCGGAGCGCCGCGCTCCCGGCTGGGGGCTCACCGCTTCTGGGCGATGTTGTAGCAGCCCATGAGCAGCAGCTGGCGCCACCACATCAAGCCGCCCGTCACCACGAAGTCCTTCTCCTGGTTCTCATTTCCGAACAGCTTCCACCGGCGCGAGGCGAGCGAGTAGTGGGCCACGCCTGTCCGCCCGGCCACGGCCACGTGCTGCACGCCGTCGTCGAGCGCCGTGTACTGGCGACGGGAGAGGGGCTTCAGGCGACGCCACCCCGCCGACGGCCGGACACCCGCCACGGGCGCTGGCGCTCAAACGCCGGCTGAGATTGCACGTCGAGCCGAGGGGACACGTGCTTTCATACGCGTGCTGCAGAGCTGAACAGCTCATCTGTGTCCTTTAAGCCAGCACAGCATTAATTGTAGCATTTTGAATGCCGCAATACATCTTCTTCTCTACACTAGCACATCAGGCATCCGCGCGAACATCCATACCTAACCACGACGCTCGACAATAATCACCACAAGAGCGCGCCCAGACCTTGTGGTCAGGGTCACGTGGTCACGAGCGAGGAGCCTGTACGTACGCGTATGGGCCAGTTGCTGCCCACGTAGAGGTGCGGCACAGGCACGGTGATCCACTGTTTGCTGCCGGCCCTGGTCTGACCAGCGGCACCCAGCGACACGGGACCGTCGCAGCTGATGAGCACGCGGTCCTCGCCTTGCAGGCACACGTGCTCCTGGTTACTCTGGCGACGACCGAGCCGCACCAAATCAGACACGTAGCGATCGCAGCGGTGGCCCCAAGGCGGCGAACACGCCCACAGCCTGACCTGGCGGTGGGTATCGAAACCCACGCGCAAATGCAAAATCACATCCACCACATGAGAGACAGCACAACTTTCTGCCAAGATCGCGTGCGGCCAGTTCAAGGCACCTTAAAATGTGAACCAGGAGAAAACGTTTGGGCATTCGACTTCGCGGCTAGGGCGCCAGTAACGCTGCCAGAAGCTGCCAACCCGCCACCGATCTCAGGCCTGAGCGGCCCCCGCCAGCACACACCATACACGGGTTGACGGAGAGGGCCGACTTGACGAACGACAGCTGCATGAGCCGGTTGGCGAAGCCGTCGTCGTCGCGCCGGCCGGCGTTGAGCAGCCAGAGCTGATAGCCCTCGGCGCCCCATTCCATGTTGACGGCGGCCACCACGTCGCCCTCCCAGGCAAGCGTGCAGGCCAGCAGCGTGCCGAACACGGACCAGAGCGACAGACCGCCCGACGACCAGGTGACGGCAAGCGCGCAGCTGTCCGGCGTCCAGCACAGACGACCTGGCGGCGGCGGCGGCGGCACCGGAGTCAGGGGACCGATCACGACCAGGTGACGGCCAGCGCGCAGCCGTCCGGCGTCCAGCACCGACGACCTGGCGGCGGCGGCGGCGGCGGCGCCAGGGTCACAGGAACCGTCACGGGTTCGGCACGGATTCTGAGCTGCCCTCACAGGATGCCTCAGGGCTGGGCAGCTGGTGACAGTCACGCAATACGCCAAAGTAAGACAAGTTGACTGTTTAGGAGGGCCCAACACATGAGGAAAGTCTGGTATATAACATTGATGCAATTATTAAAATCCAATTTGATCGATAAATTTGTTACGAGTACATATACATTCTGGACATATGTACTAAACCGTGCATATCTAGCCATGGTATCTAGCACCAGTGTGAGAAATACCATGCATGACCAGCCGAAAACGGAAAACCGGCCACCGGACCCGCCCCGGCACCGGCGAGGTCGCGTCAGCGTCGGGCCACCGGCGCCACACACACCCCGGGCTGCGGACAGCCGGCCGGCGCCGGGCTCCGGTCACACGGGAGCATACCGACGGGTCCTGGCGAGCCGGCGAAGTCCTTGCTGGAGAGGATGAGTCGGTGGAGCACCTGCAGGCCGCCCGTGGACTCGTCCACACAGCACACCACCGACTCGCCGCTGCCGTAGAGCAGGCATCGGTCGGGTCACGCGGGCCACGCGATCGGCGCGGGTCAGGTGAGAGGGTCACCGCGGCCAGGCGTCAGGTAGCGCACAGGTGTATTCTTATTGATGGATGCGCGGCGCATGTCGCTGTCAGCCCCTTACGACAACCACGCCAGTAGTCATAGCGTTCCGATGCAACGAGCTGGGGTTGAACCCGGACCCCCCGCGCGGAAGCCGAGCACGATCCCAATTAAGCAATCTTGCCCCCACCCCTATCAAACATTTCACAGGAGTTGCTTATTGGTGGTTCAGGCCACGCCGTCCGCGGGAGGCGATCTGGTGCTAATCAGCCTGCGGCGTATTTCCATGGCGGCCAGACCACCCGAATGACAGCAAGAGCACAATAACAACCCCACAGAGGCGCCAGCAACGACAGCCAAATGGCCACTTTGTCATCCAGCTGTCGTTGACTACTTAAACCTCATCAGAATGCTCGCGTGTCGCACGCACCTCCAAGCGGATAGAAGCCTGGATACACAGGCGACCTAGTGGCTCTAATCCACGGAACACCTTTGTGTTGCCGCGGTATACGTTAATCACACCAGTAGGTGCCAACTATAACGCCAGCAACCTAGCGCCACCACTCACGTTGAACGTCCGAACACGATGAGCCGGTATTTGTGGCTGACTGTGGCGCAGGTGGCGTCCGACACCGAGGCCGCCCAGATGCCTTGCACCGACTGCAGAGCACGGCCACACCACCCGGTCAGACCCGCAGCAGCCAGACGGGTGGGGAGCGGCGCGGGAGTCAACGTCAGGCGCATGGATAATAACATCCTGATGCACGGATCCGTTATAGGAAAAAAGCATAGCTTTGCATGGCCGCAGATGTTGCGAAAAGGGCCTTTAACCGTCAGCAAGGCAACGGCGGCGCCCGCTGGCGTCACAGGGATGTGCACCGCGGCGACAACGCAGATAGCTCGCTTCACTCCGGGCAGGAAGACAATAGCGACAACGTCGCACATGTGGCGTCGTCACGCAAGATAAATACTTCCGGCGGGTGGACGCCCGTCACGAGACTGACACGTCCGTCGCGGGACGGAAGTGGCAAGGGCCGAGGCGAACATGACGCGGAAATGTACGCGTGGTCTTTAAACTGGAGTAACCGCGACGGCGAGTCTTGTGGATTACAGCCTCGAAGTGGCCCATAGCCAGACGGTGTGGCACGGGTCCGGGACATAGTCATCACCCTACACCGTAACGCCGGCAGCTCAGACGTAGGTCCGGAGTAGGTCGAAATAGAGCGACAAAGACGGTCAAGTGTCTGGGGATCTCGTTACATGCCTCATTTATACAACGCTCCAGATCTAAATGATCATTTATGAGGGAGGTTTAAAATTCCGGCGTAAAAGCTTCTAGCATGCTCTTCCATAACTCAAGATATCCATCCCAATGCATGGCACACAGCTGAGGGCACCTAAGCTCCGTGGAAGACACTTTGAGAGCGAAAATATGTAAAATCACGGACAACGCACATAACCTCTCAGCCCGTCGGCGCCCGACCGGAAGGCCACCACTCACATTGGGGTCGAACTTGAGCGAGGAGGCGGTGAGGAAGGCGGCGCGGCCGTCACTGAGCACTGTGGCAAACCCGCCCACCAGTGGCGAGTACTCCATGTCCACCACGTGCACGCCCTCCTCCTGGATCGGTATCGCTGCCGGCGGCCGACGCGGCGACGCTCCGTCAGGGGGCGTCGCACCGGTCAGGCGGCGGGGGCACGCACGGTGGTGTGGAGGGTCCAATCGGACAGCCGCGCCTCCGAGAAAGGAGAGCACTGCGACACGACACGGCGGACAGAAAAAGGTCCCGGGCTGGGTAAAGGCACTGCATTGAAATGGGTGCGGCCGGAGGCATCATCACAGGATCTATGCTCAACTTCGAGGCAGCAGCGTGATCAAGTGGGATCTGTCGACGCCGAGGCCCAGTGGCAGTACCATGATGATACAAGAGACAGAGTAAGACACCTGGGGCTCCGTGAATGCGCCATGATCACAATGAGCCAAACTGGCACACATCAGTGCTCCATGATGGTGCTGTTATGTGGTGGACAGACACCAGCTCCCCATGACGCTATCGTGATGGGCAGATGCAGACAGACATCAGGATTCTGTGACATCTCCGTGATGTAGCGGACATGGCCTGACACTCAGACTCATTCTGGGCGATAGGAGTATGGTGTGACAGACACAGTCACGTACCTGAGGACTGGGGTGAGCCACATGCTTTCTGCACATCAGACCAGGCCATGAGTCAGCAGTCTGGTGGTACCAACAGTACTGTGCATAGCTGGCCGACAGGGCTGGATGCCGAGGCTCGGTGGCGTCGCGTTCGGATGGCGTCACCTACCGATAGAGACCTGCTGGTTGACGGAGAAGGGCGTGCGCCGCAGGTCCAAGCAGTAGTCGTAGTTGATGGTGCCATCCCAGCGGTAGCGTAGCACGTGGCCCGAGGCCGTGGCCACCATTAGCTCATCCCGGATGCTGGTGACGCAGGTGAGCGGCGCATCCAGACCCGTCTGGAAGGCCTGTGGCCGAGCCAGCAGCCATCAGTGCCAAACAGCAGCATCCCCCACCCAATACAAATATCTCCTGACACCCAACACAGGTACCTCCCACCACCTAACACAGGTGCCTCCTGCCACCCAACACAGGCGCACACTGCCATTCCACATATATGCATTACTGTGCAAAACCCATGAAGCTGATCAGGGATATGAAATACTGAGCATCTGAAGGTTTCAGCATTCACAAATAAGGAGTACCCAATGATCCACAGACAGGTTACCTTGGAGAAGACAAGTGGGGGAATCTGCTCCTTGATGAACAGCTCCGGACTGTCCCGACGGAGTGCTGCCTGAGGAGAGTCTGTCTGGCTGTACAGGCCAGACTTGGCACTGTCCACAGCCAGGTGGAAAAACAACAGAAAGTTTTTTGATGTCTGAAATACAGCCATACATGTTACTTGCTGTATGGGTCATCCCTTGCCTATCACTGGCAAAGTTATACCAAATGCAACCAGGCTTGTGCATTGCCAGAATGATCATAACAATTTGAGTTAGACAAGACATATCCTATGATGGCCACAGCCAGGAGTGCACACAGTGTAAATAATATCACCAACATAATTGCACAACTATTATGGCAAAGTGACTAGCATATTGTGATCAGCACAAAGCAATAGCTCACATGAAAAGCAATGTCTCACCGTAATAACCAACATGGTGGAGTCTGGTCTCCATTGCAGATCAATATTTGTTCCATGTTTCTCCAGTGACTCCTGTGACCTTTTGTGACATGTGATGGGCAGAGCAGGCTGAAACAAAAATCACAGCATACTGATGCATCTAAGTAATGAATGATAACATAAATTTGGCTAATCATTTGGTACTAATTGTGGGTACTGCAAAGCATTGCATGCCCTCTTTTATCTGTGCACTAATTAAGCACATGGTTTGCTTCCTTTACATTCAAATATTTTGGAATTCTTGTTAAATTTACTTTTAACCAGAATCAAACCCTCATGAATTCTGAGCACAACACTGAGCACACCTGAGCACACCTAAAGCTGCACAATTTAGCATTTTGCCCCAATTTAAGTAAGCAGCATTAGGCACTCACCACTCAAAACAATTATCAATGATGGGAGGCAGTTGTGGTGATGCTCATGATGTCGAAGATAAAATTCCAGAAGAGAAAAAATGAACCAGTTTTGCTAGGCAATATTTTAAAACAAGCCATGGCACACACAATGCTTAGTCCGGATTCAAACTTGATTATGCCCTCTCCCAATCCTGTACTTTCCACCTTTCTAGCAAGAAAAATCCAAATTAATTGTGAAAACAATGACAGCAAGGGATGGGTTAGTACCTTTAACATATTGCATGATTACCAAAAACAATTGTATCCATGCTAGTTGGAAATAAAAAAACACAAAAAATCTGTTATTTAGCACATTGGATTAAACTAATTGACAAAGCACATCTGGGTGACAATGTGGTGCCAGGATTTCTCCGTAACAGCTCCAACCATTTCTGTCGAACAACAACTGGCCATCAGTCTGCCAGGAACAAGGGGCTAAAGCCTACTCAGGTGACTTACTTTAGAAAACCATATCGTTATCTGTGAATCTGACAATACAGCAAACAGTATCCGGTCTCTGTTACACAATATCTTCCTGAGCTTCTCTTGACCATCATCAATCCGAGAATTCAATATCTTTGGCCATCCAATTGGGAAATACATATCGGGAGGGCCACGGGCACCAACAAGCCCTCCCCATTTCCCGTGCAGCGCGATCGCCAAACAGAGTCGCTTCGTTGGCAGTGGGTTTAGGTCGGTTATGCACCTATTATACCGTTATCCACTGATGTTCAAACACCGTTCGTTCTCCATGCACACTGCTTAAGGCAAAGCATCAACCAATCAAAGATAGTCTTAGAAACATTGTGTGCTGTTTTTTCAATCTCTGATTGGTCAAGATGTCTGTGCACTGTAAATATGCAAGGAAGTGAATACCGAGTAGATTTTGTCTTTACGTTACTAAAATTAGTTTCATCGGGATATAAAAAACACAAATGATACCAGATTTTAAACCCGGAAAAAGCACTGCCGACTCTCACGTACACACTAGGAGCAGACACTTGCTGTGCACCAGGACACACGTTGCACATCACTTAACATCATATCATATAAGGTGACACAGATATGGTGGTGGTTTCGTAAAGGGACGTACGCAAAATTCACCTATGCGGGGGTGTGGAGAGGGGGTACAACTTCTTTTGCACTGGAAGCCAGCATGGGGTGCTTCAGGCGTGTGCAATGTCTTTGCAATCGTTAATCAACACGGTATAGCCTGCGCTCCTACTTCTCCGTGTCTTACTTTGAATTATTGACGCTTAAAGTCATGCGGTCATTTTCTACATGGAAACGCATGCCATGAATTTGATCACGAAGGGACACGTGCCACGGGGGTGACTGTGCATATGCCCCTGGTACAACATGAAGACAAGGCAAGAGTGGGAGCACTTATTCTGCTCCAGCGGCCCAAGCCAAAAATGATGAAAATGAGTTGCGTCAAGTACAGATAAGGATATGCTGAAAGGCTCCTTCCCTCATGTGTACCTTAATCTCATTTAATTTAATGTTTGGTGCTTTTGTATTTCAATTAAAATATCTCACTGGAAATTTGATATGAAACCACTCGATTACATCCCTGCACATGTGGTATTTTGGTGCTTTTACATATTTTTTAGGAAGAAAATGAGCAATGTGAAGCCCAATAGCGCTGTGACAAAAACGTCAAGCAAACTCTGTGTTTAGAGCAGCTGGTCAGGAGAAAAAGTCTCAAGCTCAGGCCAATGAAATAGTCATTTGCAGAATGATGAAGAATCTACCCAATCACAGAGCCAGCACAAAAGACTACTCAGCTGATACGTGTCGTCTGAACACGTGGAAATACGCGTCAGTTTCATCATTTCTGCGCCACTCTGGGGACTCGTATTGCTACGTTCCCAAGCCCTCAGAGCGGTCAGAGCAAAGGCGCAGGCGGAAGGTACACGCCCAGGGAGCTACGGCGGTTCGCTGCGCCCGCTAGCACTCTTCTCCATGAACTAGACAACTCACGCTTGATATCCCGGGAAAATTAAGCGAATTGGCACGTGGAGAAAGGGTTTAGTCTTTCGGTGGTACGAAATCAAATTGCGTTGGCTGGTGACTCCTGCTGGTGAGCTAGATTGTGTCGGTCGCGTACTGGCCGATGGTGCGGTCATTGCAAACGTGATGCCGCGCGAGCGTCAGTTGTATAGTCACTGCTTCCTGAACTATTAATATGAAGAATTCAGATGCGCTTGTCCGGGTTTTTCTCTCAAAGTGATGTGTCTCTTCATTGCCGGCCTCGCTTATATCCACTGGTCAGTCTAAAAAGAATTACGCTCCGCAGCACTTTCAGACATTGTTGCACCAAACTCTCTGTGTTTGAGTTGGCGGAAATGAGGTCAGGCCAACTTGTACTGGAATTTCCTTTTTGTTTTTGTCAAAATTGTTTTCTGGACTGTGATTGCCTGAAATCACATTTGCAGTAGCACATGTCCTTTAAACTGGTTTCATATGTGCTGAAATTAATGGTGATGGTGTGAAATGCTGGGTGCTCAGATTAATTGTGTTTTGGCATTGCATATTTTGCTTTGTTTGACCATTTTGTGTAATACATGTTTTGTAACATGTTTGAGGTGATAATTTTTTTTGCAGGCTGGCCAGTTCAGAGCTCAGAATTCAGGACAGACTGGTGCATGATGCAGGGGCATCTGCTGCTGTGGATGGATTTTTTGCAGACTGGCAGCATGATGCTGAATGTTGTGGTGAAATGTTTTGTGTTATGATGGAATACCTGTTTTCATCAATCTTTCAGTGAAAATGACAGGAAATAGACCAAATGTTATCACAGTTTGTAGGTTAATAGACTGGACAATTGTAAGCTAATAATTATAAAGCTCTGATATATCATGCAGGATATTTTGATGCACTTCTAATTTTCTACACATGCTGGGTCTCCATTGCACTGTTCTCAGTCTTGTTCTTCCATTGCATTGCATGATACCACTGCCCATAACTATCATGTGTCTAAGAAATCATTGATTAGCATAAGGTGAATGTGCATTCAAGGCCTTGTCTTTTAACAAATCAATTGTGATATGAACAGATTAACCTGCTTGCCATCATTCTACCTTTTTCATAATTCAGTAAATTTTCAGAACTTACAGTAAAATTACATATTGCCTGTGAACTTATCAGCAGTTAGCACCCAAATGATGAACATTGGAAAAGCAAATGCAAAATGCCAGACTTGATATGTCAGTATCTCTTTGTCAGGATATGATCAGTGTACAGATCACATATTACCAAGTTAGATCATTATAATAGTTCAAAAAGCAATGTAATTATTTGAAGTATATGGCAAAAGTAGTCTGGCAGAACTGAAAATGGTCTACATCCACACAGTACTTGTGTGGCTTGTTTTGCATTTTTATGAGCTAGCTCATTGTAACTTTCACTTCATCTATTGTTTTGATAGTCACTAGTTGCAGTTTCATGCACATAAATATTTTTTCATGAACATGAGTGTTTTGCATTTAAAGATATTGATGCAAGGATCAGATATGATAAGCAAGATCATTTATAACTATTTCCATACTTTTTTAGTGGAAAAGGCTGCTCGAGACAGCACAGTTTTCTGGTTAGTGAATATGCTCATCAATGTGTAATGGTTTGCTTATGTCATTGCATCTTGCACAACATTGATTGAGAGCCATTTGAGGCTGTTACATCTACAAATTGTGCTCACAAATGCCAGATATGAATGCCTCAATACTAATATGTTTCTTGGGCCTTAATTGCCACTTGGCTTTTTCAATGACTTGGGTTTGAATGGCAGGATTTAAATGATATTATGATGTATTGTAATGAGTGCTAAGGCAGCTTTAATATGCTCTCCCTGATATACCTTACCCCACTTTGGTGGTCATTTTGCTCAGAAACTAGTGGAGCTTACATCTTAAGAAGGGTAGGATTATGAACAGCACCAAAATGTCTAAGCTGGCTTGTTCAGTTCAAAGCCCCACATAAATGTGGAACACTCCCTTTAAGACTGTTTTAACTGTGAGTGCTTCTTTAAATTTCACTGTAGCTTATGATTTTACTTTCATCAAAATTGTACAATTGATGGTCTGTTGACACTTGTAATGTTGAACTAATGGTTATGGCCTTGATTTTTGTGTGCATTCCTTCTGTTATATACAACTTTGGCACATCAGGTTTCATTTGGGTAGTGTTACTCAAACCTCTTTTAATTCTTGCTTGTTATCATAATTCACCAATGAACAATTATACATATCCTGATCATGAAATTATGTCTACTGTTTTGTTTTTGTGGTGCAATGACTGAGAATTTGCTTTTATTAGTGGAAAATAAGGTCAGTTACAGTATTTATTAGCATAATAATGGTCTTTGATCAGTTTGTATATCTGAGCTTTTGAAGATTTCAGTGGCTGAGACAGATTGTAATCCATGTCTCAGGTGGTGAAGTGCAAGATATATTGCCACTTTGTGGCAGACTTATTGTGATCCCTCTAAAACAGCACCTGTGCCACTCATTAATGACAGTCACCCAGGTATGTGAATTGATTGTGGCAGTATTTGATTTTAAAAAGCACCAATGCTGCTCTCCTTTTAAATGTGATTTACTGGTGTTTGAATGGTAGCCAAGTAATGTTGCATAGCATTATCACAGCATCATCTGCATTGCACATGTGTTTTGATTTGTAGTTGCTTATGTGAAACAATATGTGATTTCTTTGCTTTCAGAGACCATGTCAACCTCTCAGCTGACATCTTGTGACACATTCGTGGCACTGCCACCAGCAACCAAACGAGGCTTTGTGGTGTTTGGGAAGAACTCTGACCGACCTCAGGGTGAAGTTCAAGAAGTTGTTCACTTCCCTGCTGCCTCCCATGAGCCAGGCAGCAAAGTTCAAGTATGTTCGTACAATGGCATTCACAATAGTCATCATTCCTTGTTAATGTAATAGCAGCCTTAGGCTGCTGTTTAAAAGGTGGTTTTAGGTTAGGCTGCTTTTGAGATCACAGTTTTGTGCATTTTCATGATGGGAACATGGGCTCCACAATGTGTTGACAGTTTTGTATTTGAAATTCAACTGATTTGTATGCGTATTTTCTTACTACCAATGTTGACCTCCTGTCCCGCCGCCCCATGCACCACATAGTCCAAAAGGGCCCGCACAACCGGTGTTTGTCTGCCGTTTGCGGGTGGCTGTCTGTCGTTCTGCCGTTTGCTGTTGGCTCTGACACCCAGCTGCGGTACGCAGTGCACGTACATCTCGGTGGATCAGGCGGAGAGCACACACGCGGTAATCCTGAGCCGGCCCGCTTGGATGTGGGGTGCAGAGATGGGGGCCAACGAGCACGGCCTGTGCGCCGGCAACGAGGCCGTCTGGACCCGGCTCGAGTCCGACGACGACCGCACGGAGCGGCTGCTTGGTATGGACCTGGTCAGGTGGGTCACAGCATGGTCTGGTCAGTCATGACCTGGTCAGGTGGGTCGCAGTATGGCCTGGTCGATCATGATGCGGTTTGATGGGCCATGTCAGATCTGGTCTGGTGGATGGTAGCCAACCTGGCCTGGTGGATCACAGTATGGTTGGTCTTGTGGGTCACAGCGTGGTCGGGTCTCATAGGTCACAGCATGGTTGGTCTCATGGGTCACTGCATGGTCTGGTTTCATGGGTCATATTATGGTCTGGTCTCACGGGTCACAGTATGACCTGGTCTTGTGAGTCACAGCGTGGTGTTGTCTTGTGGGTCACAGTCTGGTCTCATGGGTTACAGCCCGGCCCAGTCTAGGGGGTCACTGTCTGGTCTGGTCTATGGGGCCCAGCCTGGTCTAGTCTAGGGTTCACAGCTTGGTCTGCTTTCATGGGTCACAGCATGGTCTGGTCTCCAGGGTCACAGCATGGTGTGTTCTCATGGATCACAGCATGGTGTGGTCTTGTGGGTTGCAGCCCAGTCTGGTCTAGGGGTTCACAGCCTTGTCTGGTCTAGGGGTTCACAGCCTTGTTTGGTCTAGGGGGTCACAGCCTTGTCTTATCTAGGGGGTCACAGCCTTGTCTGGTTTAGGGGGGGGGGGGCACAGCCTTGTCTGGTTTAGGGGGGGGCACAGCCTTGTCTGGTTTAGGGGGTCACAGCCTTGTCTGGTTTAGGGGGGAAGGGGTTACAGTCTGGTCGAGGCCGCCGTAAGATCAGCCGACATAGTGGGAGATCCGGGCTGCAGCGTTGTCCTCGGATGACGAGCCAGCATTCGGCGCCGGCAGGCTGGCGCTGGAGCGGGCGGCGACGGCGCGGGAGGCGGTCGACGTCATCACCGGCCTGCTAGCCTCGCATGGCCAAGGCGGCCCGTGCTCGGACACGGACGCCTCCCTGCTCTACCACAACTCGTTCCTGCTGGCCGACCGTGCCGAGGCCTGGGTGCTGGAGACCGCAGGTCACCTGTGGGCCGCCAAAAGAATCACATGTGAGTCGGCGGGGGCGACGCCGCTCGTGTCGCCGCCCTAAGTGTCGGGTGTTGGGAGCTTCAGATGTGACGACCGAATCGGGAAGACAGCGAGTGGCGTGCCAGAGTGGCACTTGATTCTCGCATGTCCCGCCAATTCCATTCGCGAATGCTGTCGTGGTGTTCACATCAAGTCGTGCTCACGTGACGTTTGGGTCGTCTGTTCTAGTCTTGCATAGCTAAGCCGGCCGAACATGCTTGTCGTCATGGCCACCGCAGAGGATCACATCAGCGGTAACCAGCCGCGTTTCGTGTTGCCAGTAGTTACGCTGGATTTTTCCGCGGTAGCTCAGCGGGCGGGGCCAGTGCCGGTCCCTGATCGGTCCCTGGCCGTCGAGAGCCACCGGGGCTGACGTCGCCCTGCCCGCCGCCCAGCGGCCGGAGCCGGTGTCGGTCCCTGGCCGTCGAGAGCCACCGGGGCTGACGTCGCCCTGCCCGCCGCCCAGCGGCCGGAGCCAGTGCCGGTCCCTGGCCGTCGAGAGCCACCGAGGCTGACGTCGCCCTGCAACGCCCCGCAGGTGGCGTGGCTAACATCAGCAACTGCCTGACGATCGGGGTGGAGATGGACCTGCAGCACCCGGAGCTGCACTCGGAGGCCATCTCGCGCGGTCTCTGGGACGGCAGCGGCCAGCTCAACTTCAAACAGGTCAGCAGACCGTCTCCGGTGACCTCCGGCAGGCCTGTCAACCTCATTAGCTCCTACGAATGTATCCCGGAGCTTCTGGGACGGCGGCGAAGCATTAAGCCCCCCCCCCCCCTCGCACGCGTTCAAAAATTTCAGGGGGCGGCGCGTGACATCATTGTAGCGCGGTAGTCTGTAAAGCCGTGGGCGGGCGAATTTTCCTCGTCATTGTTCTTTGGGTATCTCTAGATATTTGGATGCATTTTCTCGAATGCAGAGTGATGTTTCGTCTCGGTTTCGATAAAACAAAGCAGGTTTTCCAATGGTGTAGCATGTTGCAAACCTAGTCTGTAAAAAGGATGGATCGCCCACGGCAACAGTGTATCATAAATTCGCTACTGCATTGAGTGGCGCTGCTCTTTCTGTGTTACCGCGTACCACCCGGTGGGGCCCACTGGTCAGTATATCTGTTGGATATAGATACTCTTCTGGTCGGTTGCTGTGCCCGGACTGAAAACAAATAACGTCGGAGAATGAACTCCGTCGATTTGCAGTAGGCATATCCAAAAAAGAAAAGCCATAAATCCAGTGCGAAATCCGGCAGGTCCAGGTGAATGCTGCTCATTTGACTGAGCATCAGCATGGCGCACCAGCACGTGTGCCGTCCGGGCAGCGGGCGCTGCCATCCGTCGCGCGTGTGGTTCAGTGGCGCCGGTGACGCCGCGCTGACGGCCGGTGCTGACCCGCCGCCGGGCTGTCTCAGGTGTTTGGTCGTGACGGTGACGCGGACGGCTGCTCCCGGCTCACCGAGGGCCGCAAGCTCATGGAGCGGTACGCCGCAGCAGGTACGGCTCGCGGAGGCCGGCGCGGGCCCTGACGGCTCGGCTCCAGCTGCAGTGGCGTGGAACTCATCCTGCTGGTGACGAATGTGTGATGGACCTGGCGGTTATGTGCGCTATAGAAGATATGCTGTTGTTGTATGTATTTTGTGTGTAAAACTACAGACAAGACTCAAATGGCCTGCTAGTCACGTGCTATGCTTATCATTAGCAACCACATGTCATAACTTCTGTGCTTAAGTGCCTGTGATAACTTCCACGTAACTAACAAACACTGCAGTGACCGTAAATGTATTCGTTCACTGGTCCGGCGGGCAGTGGCACAGTTGCATCCTTTGCATGCCCTCACGCCACCGGTGGCGCCTCTGTAAGTGTGACACCATCGGACATGTGACATCGCACGTGCTGTCGGCACAGGCGAGTTTGACGTGGAGAACATGCTGGCGGTGCTGCGTGACGCGCCGTCTGGCATCTGCCGCGCCTACGATGATCCGTTCCACACGGCCGCCAGCCAGGTACGCGCGGTGTGACAACCCGTTCCACACGGCCGCCAGCCAGTTCCACGTGCTGTGCTCAGGCTGATGAAGCAGCTACCAGTAGGGACGTTAAGTGCAGTCAGTGTTGCAACATCGCCTCAGTCCAGATGCGTATGTATAAGGTGCAGAACCTTGCTGATGGTCGTTCCGCGGGTCAGTAGCACATCAGACCGCATGCAAAGTTAACACGTATTTCTGGTTTCTACTACCCTTATGCATGGCCTGGACCTCGGAGGTGTGCCCGTGCACTGTACTGTGTCAAGCATTCACATCCGATGTTAATGGCCCAGAGCCCCTGGACGGCGCGCCTTCCCCACCAGTCTTCCTTCGCTGTTGGATTGCCTGTCGGGCCCCGTCGCGTTCGCGTATCAGTCCCCACGATTAACCCTGACACTGTATCCCGTGTCGCCAGACGTCTACTATTACCCCTTGTCGTCTTCAGTGTGACTTTACTACGCCGTCGGCAGCTTAGGCTATATGGCGTCGCCTACCTCTTAACTTGGCAGAAAGAGCGGGCACCACGGGGAATCGAACTCCGTACCTCTGGTTTCCTAGGCGCGCGGCTTCTGACCCGTGCCGCCGCTCGTCTCGTGCCGCGTTGGCTCCGCGCGTCCGGCGTCGCCAGGTGTCTGTGTTGTCCCCGTGCGTGCCTCGCTGTCCGGGGCCCCTCCGCCGTGCCGCTGACGACCGCGCGTGCCCGGCGTCGCCAGGTGTCGGTGCTGCCGCCGATGGCCTCAGCCCGGCCCGCCTGCCACTGGTTCACGGGCACGCCGGACCCGCAGCGCTCCGTCTTCAAGCCATTCGTGTTCGTGCCGGGCGCGCGCATCTCGCCGCACATCCAGAGTCCGGCAATCGAGGACGACCCGGCTAAGGTGAGGGGGGGGGGGGGGGCGCACGCCGACCGGCCGACCGGGGAGAGTGCTGTGGTGGGAGGGGAAGGCGACGGCTTTGGTGATAAGATTAAAGGGATGAGGTGTGCAAAGAATTCAATTATTTTTGCTTCTTTTCGAAAGGTTATTCTTTTCAGCCGGGCCAAACGCGGAAGCAACGGGCATACCGCCGTTGTGACACATTTGTATTCTGTTCATGACGCTGCGGCGGTATAGCATAAAATATCGACCAAATACGCGATGACACCCTTGCGCACAGGCCTCCCTTGGGGATCATGTCAAAGAAAGCATCTCACAGAAAAAGGCTAGGAGAGCCAACTTCTGGTAAAAAGAAAGATATCACTTAAATAGGGATGAGGTGCTGTGGCTCCCAGGAACGTAACCAAAAAAGCGGTTAGCACATTGCTCCTAATGCTGCCCTCCTACTGATCTAGGAGGACAGTTGCTCGTACTATGTCCAGGCTCAGTCCGACCTGCAGTGTCGGGTCTCAGTCTGACCTGCAGTGTCCAGTCTCAGGCTGACCTGTGGCGTCCAGTCTCAGTCTGATCTGCAGTGTCGGGTCTCCGTCTGACCTGCAGTGTCCAGTCTCAGTCTGACCTGCAGTGTCCAGCCTCAGTCTGATCTGCGGTGTCTGGTCGTAATCTGACCTGCGGTGTTCATTCGTCAGCCCAGTCTCGCTGTGCCCCGCCGCGTGCCTCTGACCGGCGCACTGCTGGCAGGCCCAGCCGCGGTTCCAGCGGCCGGTGGAGCGCGCCCACCGCCTGTACCGTCTGCACGGCGAGGCGCTACGCACGCGGCCCGAGCGGCACGAGCAGGTGCGCGGCCTGGAGCAGCGCTGCGTGCCTGAGCTGGACCGCTTCCTGGAGCAGTTCACGGCCGAGCAGGCCGGCGAGCTGCAGGAGCTCTTCAAGGACTGCGTCGAGAGCGAGCTGCAGTTCTACAAGTAGAGCCGGCGCGGCTGGGCGCGGCGACCGCGGGACGGGGAGGGGCGGGACGGAGGCGGAGATGGAGACGGAAGATCACCAGGAGCACGCGCACAGGCACGGGTGAGCGGGGCGGACACACGCACGGGACACGTGCACTGCATGCGCACATGGTGAATACGTGCACAGAGGTGGAGGGATCGGTTGTTTTCGCGCATTCGCGCACGCTGGTGGGAGCCCCGTTCTCCTGCGTGGTGGAGTGGATGGGGCCCTGCTTATCATGGGGTGGAGGGTCGTGCTGGTACTTAATGGCGGGCTGACGACGGACGCCGCGAAGTGGGACCGGCGCCGGTCGGCGGAGGCGGTTGTGCCCCACCACCGGGTCACACCGCAGCACTAGAAATCCGAGGGGTCTGCCTTTCTGCACCTGGTTCGGACATCACTCGTCGCCCTCGCTCGCCTTTGCCGTCTCGCGCGCGCGCCCTTGCTCGCCGTCGCCGTAGCTATAGCAGAAGCCGGCGATGCTTTAGTCGCCTAGCTGCTCAGTCTTTCTTTGTTGTTTGATCCCGGGCGACGGCTGTGTGACCACTTGCCAGGTCCGAGTGCGCGGCTGCGGGTGCGTCGGACCTGCTGGGACTGCAGGCTTCGGTCGGTCCGGACCTGCAGGTCATCAGTGTCAGACTTCTCGCCATTGAACCCTGCAGAGTGCCGGAGGGTCTTAGACGGAGGACTCCAGCTCGCTCTGTTCGCTGAATGCTCTCGGGGAGGAGAAAAACCACAGTTACTCCAAAACGTTCACGTTCGTACGGCTTTTGGCGTTTTTTGGTGGCCTGTTTTGTGGAGGTTTGGTTGAAAATTGAGGGGGCGGAGGACTTGCGCAAGACATTATACGCCGGGCAGCAGGCTGTCGTCTTGCGTCGCTTGGTGCCTCGCAAGGCAAAGTGAATCACGCAGAGTTTTGAAGTGCTTGAAGAAATCTACTTGAGGTTCTGAGAGTTACGTTAAGGTGCTGGACACCGTTTTGCACTGGCGGCCTGCACAGGGCTCTTGAGGAGGAACGCAAATATCTGGCAAGCCAACGGCAATTTATGAATCTGGAGTAGTGTTCGGCAGCAGCGTAGAAGGAATTCACTTCACGGTCACGTTTTGTCAGCCGTCCCGTCTTCATTGCGTTGGAAAGCCTCGAAGTCTTCGATGTCTTTCAGTTCGCCTCACGTGCATTGTCGGGTCGCCTGGCGAAATCCACTTTGAGATGCTTGCCCGGATCTAAAATACTTCGCGTTGGTCGTGCGAGCGGAACTTGGCTGGCATTCAGCTTCGTCTAAGACTGTGCCGCCTGAGACACCAGTCGTAAGTGTCCGGGTGGCGCATCCAGCTGTGTTCCGTAGGTCACCGCCGGACACTGGCGAGGCTCCTTTTGAAGATGATGGTCTTCTGACTTCTGCCTCTGTCCCGATAAAGTATATATCAAGATAGGGTCTTCTGACTTCTGCCTCTGTCCCGATAAGGTATATATCAAGATGAGTCTTCTGACTTCTGCCTCTGTCCGTTGATTACTGCCTCTGTCCGGATAAAGCATGTATCAAGCTGGGTTGGTTGGTCTTACCATAAGGAGCATTTCCCCGGCGGTTTCTTTAACATTCCGATCGTTTTTTCGACGGGTTGGATGTTTGACTAAGAAAAACAGCCAAGCGGAATCGCTCGTTGCACGGAGTTGGGATATGCACGTTCAATGCAGGTCCCTTCAAAATGTGTTTGTTTTACCGTCGGCTGCCGAGTTGTATAGCACGTAGTTGGAGGAAGGTCGATCCCGGTGTCAGGTGGTCCGCACATATGTGGTCCTTGAGTGTTCGTGTCGCAGTAGCGTCCGGTTAGGTGCTACGGTTCAGGTCTTTACGGCATTTATTCACAACGGGAGGCTTGTGGGCCTAGTCGTGGCATTTGCCGCCAGTTTCTTTAGGTGGCGTTTTTTGTTATTCTGTCGCGTCACGTTAATTGGAAGTGAGCAAAGTTGGTCGGATCGTGAATTATGTAAAGGGTGGTGTCTTACATCGAATCTCGTGAGACCCCCGAATCTTACCGGTTTGATTCGCGCTTGTACCCCCTGGAAGACTACGTAATGTGTCGTGAGGTTTTGTTTGTATCTCGTACCGAGTCTCATCGTGCGGTTGATTGGTGAGGTTTGTTGACGTTGAGACGCCATGGAGAACAGCTTGTGTACGGCGCACCCCCGGCTCCCCTCGTCGTCTGTTCCCCGTCTCCACCCACTGGGCAAGCGTGCGCGATCATCACTGGGGATTGGTGATGAGCTTTTGCTGTCGGCGTCCGTGATATTGATGTTCCGTCTAGTCCGTCTGGCGCTTTAAATGGTCGGCGTTGTCGCATTCTTGGCGTGTCTGGCGCGGCCTTGACCTTTGGGGGATGGGCGGACCACGGGTCCCCCGGACGCACGGAGTGTGTGTGTGCGTTTGCTACCCACGCCTTGGTTTTCCCTGAGCTTCGGTGTCAATATTTCTGCGCTATGTCTCAATAAATAGCGAGCCTGCTGCTGTGTGTACGCCCTGTGGCGCGATCAATAACGGCGCATACGTGGTTCAGCTGAGCACTTGCGTCCAGGATGCGTAACCGCATGTCGCATATTCGACGCGTAACTGAATGCCGATACATACGGCACTGGATTTCGAGCACCCGTAAACCCTCGGTTACCAGCAAATAACGGTTAACTGTTAACGAAGAAAACAGCGAACGTCAATTTTAAACCTTTAAAAAGCCTTGGCGCGCATGTTTCTGAGTGAGGGGAAAACACTAGGCAGCTGTCGCCAGATGGCACCGGGATCGATTTCAGGAGAGATCAGGCTGCACCGCGGTGAGGGCACGCCATACGCATGACTTCCGAAGGGCGCATGCTGGGAGCAATGCGGGAGATATGCAGCGTTCAGATCGCGGGACTTTTTGTCACAATGTTCTACTTTGTGTGAAAGAAATACAATGAAGTGGCTCAGCGCTAAAGACTGTCCTGTTTCCCAGACTTTATGGAAAATGACGTACTTTTGGAACTGTTGCGCCAAGGATCTCTCGCTGGACCTCCATCTGTCCCGTAAGTGGTGCTGTCTAAATTTTGTGTACATCCCGATACAGTTCCAGCATGCAATTTTCCGGGTACATATTCGGAACTGTACGAGGAACCCTGCTAACGCAGGGCCTTCAAACGAGCCGATGGAATATACCCTCCCGCAAGTTTGATCTCCGAAGTCAGAACAAAGGTCATCTGCGGCGGTCGTTCGGCGGCGGCGGCTGTCTCCCAGCGGTCGCTGCGCCAGGTCGGCTGCCTCGCAAGGGCATGCATGAACGGGTCAGCGACTGCCCGGGCGGCATTGACCTCCGCGCTGGCGCTAACCACACTAACGGCGTTGGCCACAGTTGGGCAGCGCAGGACGACTGGCGCTTGAGGCTAGAGCCGCTTTGGTGTGCTGCCAGCGGTATGAATGACACATATATGGGCTATTGCAAGCGAGGCGGCCCTTAGACTACTGGCACGTCTCAATCACCACCGCCAGAGGGGGGTGTCGGCAAAAGGTCTGTGGCTGATGTGCTCTTGGGCGTGCTCTTTGGTCAAGTGCTCCCGTCATTCGTTTTGACTCCAGGAATTGTGTGAACGGGTATTCGCCTTTTTGTGAACGGGTATTCGCCTTTCGCCGGGTAACGCCTCTTGATATTCTTTTGGTCGCTTCTGGGCAACCGTGGCTGCACGCGTAATTTCCCTCGGTTCGTGAACAGGCATGTTCACGAGCCCACACAACCTCTCTTTATAACAATTTATTAAACATTGTGAAATCCGCCGGCTCGAAGCTTCAGCCTGTTCGTCCAAACATGCATTTCATCGCAGTCAAAAACAACTAACCGTAAAAAGCGGCACGTACTGATTACAAAAATACTCGCATCGGATGGACTCTTGATTAAAATCAACCTAAGTGACGCAAGCATTGACCACCTCGGCGACTAGCATCAGGGGACGAAGTGCACATCCAAGGCGACAGGAGGGGGGGGGGGGGGAGGGGCACAACGTGAGGTAACCTACATCCTCCGGCGGTTCACACGGGCGCGAGGCCAACTCGCCTTCCTCTGGCCAACGCGCCGCGAGGGTCGCGGGCGGCTTCCAGGAGGGTGACTGCTCGCAGTATCCTGCGACAGCGGGCGGGGCGCGGCTGCCGACGGCGCCCACCGCACCGCCGCCACGCACACCACGCTCCACACACGTGACACCAGGGGAGCGGCCTCGGTGAGGGCGTCCGGTGGACGGCCGGCCGGCTGCGCAGGGTAACACCAGCTACCTGACACCACGCGTCTGCCGCCGCGCGCGGGGAGTAATCACTACACTGTGCGGGGAAGGGCGTCTTCACTGGCGGCGAGGGACCGTGGTCCGAGCCGGCTCCGATGGCGGCAGCTTGCTGATCAGTTTGATTGAAAGCCGTTGGAAGTGCAGATTAACAACACAACACAGCACCGCGAAAGATATGATTTGTCCCCAATGCGTCTGGGAAGCGCCAGTACCGATTCCGGTACAAACCAAGTCGTGGAAGAGAGCCGTGGGGTAGGTGACTAGCCAGGGAGCCGTTTCGTTTCGACTGGGTTCGTATGCGAAATCCTCCCGGGATTGTCGTTAGACGTGTGGAGCCCTTTACGGCGGCGACATCCTAAACATCTCTTCGTGTCTGATCCCATGCGTTTCCCCCACAACGAATTACACAACCGCACCCGCAGCGACTACCTAAGCCGTACGGAGCGTGTACGCTACTCGGATCTCAGGGAACAGCAGAGCGTGTTGACCAAAGGTTTGAGACAATCACGTCACCTCGAGCCACCCGGCTGTGCTGTGGAAGGGAGGTGCGCGCGGGCGGCGTTCGGCCGCCCCGCGTGTCAGATTCCGCTCCCCCCGCTCCGGAGCACAGGCTGGCTGTGACCCCGCGCCGGTCTGTCGGGGAGAGCGCGCCGCTTTCCGACAAGGCCGCGCCAGCCCGGGGCGGGGCGGGTGAGGTGGCGCACCACAGCCCAGGGCGTGGCACGAGGCGGAGGACAGGCGGGTGATAGCTGCGCCGTCGGCGGAAGAACAAGCAACGCAAGAAGGCACCGCCGAGCCACGGGGACACCAGCATGCCGACAGAGGCCACCACGCTGCACCCCTCCCCCTCCCCCCAATGTTGCACGATTCATCGATATGTGATGAGCCACCTCAATGATAAAGCAGAAGGCAGACAATAAAAAATAGTATTTCGCGAATATTGCTGCCTTCGGTGACCGTGCATATTCAGTTGTGGTTTAGACCAGCAAAATACATGATTCGCATACTTGGCAACAGGAAAGTGTGCGCCTTAACCCACGCAAAGCAGGATGTTAACCGCGTCACAACTGACAACATGCTGAGCAGCATATTCAATTAATCCACATTCGCATCAGCAGCACAGCGAGTTATTATGGACTACGGACGTGGGGGTAATGATATCATGGCCTGCCCACAACGTTACAACGGGAAGCGTTGCCCATGACGACTGACCGCTGACTGCCCATGTGCTGGTGGAACCGGCACTGCAATCATGTGTTGGTGGCTTGCAAACCAGTCATCTACGAACTACCATCATCGAACGTGGTAAAACTCCAGGTGCGAACCTGCGAACTGGTAAGAGCGCCGTGCTGCGTTGCGGTTGACTTGCAACAGCGCAGTCAGCTGCCGTGACAACAGCTGGCGGCGTCGGCTGACGATGCCGTGCGACCGGGAGATCAGACCAGACGCGGCGGTTCGGTGGAGAGTAATCCAGACGGGCCCCAACGCCATCGCCGCCGGCGTCCGACGTCACGCATCGGCCCGCGCCAGCACGCCCGAACAGACCGGGCTGCCGGCGGCGCCACTGTCGGCGCACCCCGCCCCGCCCCGCGCCCGCAGACCGGGAGGGCCCTGGGGCCGCAATGCGCGTATTGATCGGCCGCTATCGAGCCGGCATTTCGGCGGGTTATCAGGGGAGTCTCGCCCGCGCGGAGCCGCAGCCCAGCCAGTCGATACCGGGCCGCCGCGGACCCGATCCACCCGGCGACGGCCCGCCATCACGTGCCGCCCCGCCCCGCCCGCCTCCGCCGCGTCTGGCGGTCACGTGAGGTCGGCGCCGGCGCTGGAGGTGTCCGCGACCGCGCACTGTCGGCACGGGCGCGCCCGACACGCAATATCGGCGCTGATGCACGCCGTGATACGGACGCCGCCGCGGTCGCGTACGTGACATGGCGGAATCGACGGAGCATCGCCTATCGATCTAACCGCGGCGCCACACCGTCGCCGACACGAGGGCGGGTCCGTGACATTCCAGGACGACCAGCGAGTCTGTCTGTCTGCCCAGCCCAACGTCGCCACGCCGCGGCCAATCACGTGTGATGTATGACGCCCTCAATAGAAGCAATTTCGCGATGATCAAGGCAGACCGTGGCTTCAGAGGCTGCCGCTTTACGACCTCCCTGAAACAACACAACCCGACTATTCGGCCATTACCACCGGCGGGGTTCGACGAGGGCACACCGGCGCGCCCGTCGGGCCTGGCGCAGACGTGAGCGGCGCTGGCCCGGCCCGCGGCTGCCGGCGAGCAGGGTCGCCCCGACCTGAGGTCAGGACACGGGACGGCGCTGGCAGCTGCGGCCCAGCCGGCCGCTCGGCCGGCGGCCGTCGAGGCCTCCGAGCGCGCTGACCCGGCCACAGTCGGAGACGCCGTCGCGCACGACCACGCATGATGCCGCGCCCCCGGGGTCAGCGGCCGCCGCCCGCGGACGGCGCGAGCGGCCGGCGCGCTGTGCTACGCACGCTGGTCGGACACCGGAGCGCGCCATCACGGAGCAACGCCTCAGGTGCGCCGTTGCGCCCAGCGCATGTCGTCGTCGCGCGGCACGGCGCCCGTCAGCCGCTGGATGACCGCCTCCAGTCGCGCCCAGAAGCCGAGCCGCTCCAGCGGCCAGTCCAGCCAGCCCGTGGTGATGCAGTAGTACGTCTCGTGCGGCGCCACGTGGTGGATGCGGTGGTGGCGGCGCGGCAGGATCACGCGGCAGTCCTGCAGCAGCGTCACGTACCACGGCAAGCCGAAGTAGGTGTGCGACCACTTGTGGATCTGGCGGCAGCGGGCGCGCAGCGTTACGGGCGAGGTCGGCAGCGACAGGGCGGTTTCGCTTTTCTCTGAGGGCTACAAACTGCACTTGAGCCGGGGCCACGGGCTGTTGACGTCAGTCACGTGTCAAGACAATTGGCAGGATTTTCGCGGGCGGCAACGTCTCCACCGGCCCGATAAGGGACGCCGCTGCGTCTCGGAATGCTGTTAGGGCCCGGCCGCGACGACGGCGGGCCGGGCGGGTGGCGCCCCGACGCCGGTCTCGGCTCGTCACGTGACGTGGACGGGGCCCAGTGACTGGGGACGGGCCATCGACCCCGGCCAGGTCGGCCGCGTTCCTGGCACGCCCTTAGGGCAACATCCGTTGGCCGGCACCGTTGTCAACACTGGACGACAGGAGGCGAGACCCGCGGCTGCCTTGCATGGCAAGCACGGTGCAAACAATTTGATCTAGACACTTTACGGGACAGTTGCACCGATCACGGCAGAGCTTATTCATTACGTGCCAACACATGTTCGATTACACGACATATTGTTCGGTACTGTTTGCACGTTGCTGTTAAATGACAGTCCAGTCAAGTACGGACACAAACTAGACATCTGCGATCCCCTAGCATAGTGTCGGTCCTAACTTTTAAATGGAATGTTTCACATTTGGAGACATTGATGAGGCACCAGATGTCATAAAACAAGCTCACTTGTAACTATTGGTACGCTTTTGAAGTGGAAAAGGCTGCTTTAGACAGCACAATTCTCTATTTAGTAAACATGCTCCTCAATGCGTCACGGTTTGACTACGTTATCGCACCCTGCACAACATTGATTGAGCCAACTGACCACCGTTATATCTCGAAATCGCGCTAACGAATGCCAGAGGTGAACACAACAAATACACTTATCTTCTCCTTGATTACCACACGACCAATGAGATGGCAGTACTTGCATGACGTTGTTATGGCGTCATGGGTGCCTGGACATCTTTCAAATACTTTTCCCGATATATCTTTCCCCATTTTCCAGGGCGTGTGGTTCAGAAACTAGAAGAGCTTAGGTCTTAAGAAGGGCAGGATTGCAAACAGCACCGAAATGTCTTTAAGATGGCTAGTTCAGTTCAAAACCCCAAATTTGGGTGGCACACTCCCTTTAAGAAAAATTAGAATGAACGAGGAAACACGATTTTTCACGACCTAACACGAAGAGCGCACTACTTGAAATATCCCGCAAACTAAAAACATCGGTATGCCCGGGAGGCACATTCCACCCTGGCCACAGCCAGCGCGACAGAAGCCACACCCTGCCGCAGCTGGCACCGCCGCAGACCCTTGCGCAGGCAGACTGGCCCGCAAAACACACACCTGGAGCCCCGCCAAAGCCAGCGACGGAACTCGGCCACCGAGACGCACGAGCGCCGCCCTGTCAGGGAACACGGCTATCGACCTGGCGCCGACGGGCCTGCAGGGAGCACGGGCAGCCACCCGCTGACCTGGGCGTGGCACGGCTCGCAAACTGACAGCCGCTCCGACGGAGAGTGATGAGGCCCCCAACTTAGCGGCCGCTCATGGGCGGCAGCTGAAACCGAAACCTGGCAGACCCCGCCCGGGGTGGCGGACCTGGTGTTTGTCTCTGACTGGGCTGATGGCGTGCGCGATAGCTCCCAGCCCGCTCAGCAGCCTGGCGACGTCACGTGTCGTGTCTTATCAGCCAGCTGAGGTCCAGCGTTGCGTCGCGTCGGTGCGGCGGCGGCTGTCACCGACGCGGCTGCACAGTCACCATCGCCACAGTTACCCTCGCGTCGCGCCGATGAACGAGTACCGGTGCCAGGGCCGGCCCCGTCCCACCGGCGGAGGGCCCCGCTCAGCCCGGCTGGCACTGTGCCCCGCATGCCACAGACGCAGCGCCGGGGGTGGCTCCCTTCACCCCCTCCCCACCATCCCCCCCCCCCACCAACAGACTCGTCACCTGTCAGACGAGACCCCACCCGAACGCGACCGTCTCAGAGCGGCTAACTTTGGACGGACCGAGGGCGACCGTCTCATAGCGGCTAACTTCGAACGGACCGAGGGCGACCGTCTCATAGCGGCTAACGTCGAACGGACCGAGGGCGACCGTCTCAGAGCGGCTAACTTCGGACGGACCGAGGGCGACCGTCTCAGAGCGGCTAACGTCGAACGGACCGAGGGCGACCGTCTCAGAGCGGCTAACTTCGGACAGACCGAGGGCGACCGTCTCAGAGCGGCTAACGTCGAACGGACCGAGGGCGACCGTCTCAGAGCGGCTAACTTCGGACGGGCCGAGGGCGACCGTCTCAGAGCAGCTAACTTTGGACGGGCGCTCTGCGTCAGATGTGGAATTCGGGCGGGCGCGTTTCAGAAATAGAGTACTGGTGCATTGCATATCGTTGTAGAAATCAAATAGATTTTCAGTGATAAGGTACTGATAATTTTCTTTTGTTCACGGAATCGTCGGCATTGATCCATTCGGCGCAGAAGACGCGTTCTCTCGACAGGCCAGCGGCACAATGATCAATTTTGATGCGTTTCACGTAATATTCACTAAAACGGCGAGTATAATCCTTTGAACGACGCCACTGAAGAACACAAGTTTATTAGCTATTACACTTTAGGAGCACCAACTGCACAGGCCATTTAGTGCCCGTGCTGACGGCATATCGTATGCTATATGATTTGTTTCCGCCTTTGGTCTGAAACCGCACCATGAAGGGCAAACTGGCAGACAGCCCAGACAGCCCTCACGTACCGCACCATGAAGGGCAAACTGGCAGACAGCCCAGACAGCCCCCACGTACCGCACCATGAAGGGCAAACTGGCAGACAGCCCAGACAGCCCCCACGTACCGCGAACGCGTCGACTCGATTCCAAATCGTGCGCAGTGATCTCACGTGTGCACGTGGGTGGCGACCGTATCAACACCTGATGACGCGTCAGTAGATGAGCCACTTGCGCAAACAGCTCCGCTCCATTGTGCCCAGTCATCGCCAGCCGTCAGCAGCTCCTCCAGGAGGACACCGCCGGCCGCCTGTGACCCCGGCCGTGACCTCTGGCCCGACCGGCCGGCGCGCGGACCGGGCACGCCACTCAGCCGTGAGCTGGAGACGACGCCCCAGCTAAGCGGGGGCACCGCGGCCGCCTCCGGCGCGGGGACCGGGCACGCCACTCAGCCGTGGGCTATCAGCGCGGGCGATCCACCTGTCGATCTCTGCGCACCTCGCGCGCGGCCGCGGCAGTCACGCAGCCCGCCGGCACGCGTCCTGTCGCCACGCAAACAATGCCGACACCTGTGCCGCCGTGGCGTCTGGCCCGCCGAGGCTCGTTCGGCGCCTCCGGCGGGGCTCCAGCGTCCGCCGATGCAGCCTGTCGCGTGGGCTGCTCATTGCCGCGGGCTCGGTACGGCGGCGCTGGAGACGATGCCGGCCGACCGACGTCAGGACGGCGCCGAGTGAGCCGACTGACGTCACGGCACCGGCTGAATAATACATGGCGACCGGCCCGGCGCCGGCGGCGGCCAGGCCGTCACCAGCTCCGGGCTGGCCACGGTACAGGTATACCCCGGTGCTGGTTTACGATGTTGCCCCTGAATAATGTGAGTTGCTATGTCCACTCGCCAAAAGCTCCGAGAAAACAAATGGCTCAGGAACACCCTAGTCTCATGTCAGCGGGCGGATACGTTGGCTGTCGTTTCGATAGGTATTTGCTGTTTTCTGTCATCACTTTTGACTTCATGAGCAAGTTGGACAGGTGTTCAGCTCATAACGCCATGGCGGCCTGACGGTCCATGCACCGCAGGTTCAGGTTTGTGTGGACCAGTCTCCAAGATCGGACGTAACGGGTCGAACACACGGACACACAAGCGGTATGCCAAACATAGACGCACAGGCGGAGGAGCTGTGCGGCGCGGCCAACACCGCCGCCGGCCGGCGACGTCTGCAGCCGCGCCGCCCGCGGCGCCAGGCTAACCCAAGCTATCCAGCGGAGCGGGGCCGTGGCGAGCCCCAGAACCAGCTGCAGCCCGCAAGCGGCGGCCGAGGCGCGATGGCGGTGACCACACTGACGACACGCCCCGGCCCGCGCCAGCGACACCTGCGGCCCCCCGGCGCCTCCACGCAGACCACGAGGACGCAACGTGCGGAGCCGGGCCGGTCGACGCGTATACCGCTGACCGGCGCCATGACCACCAGCCGCGACGCTGATCGGCCATGCACACCCACCGCGGCGGCTACAACCGGGCAATCGGCGCTGGGGGGGCACGTGCTGGGGCTGGGCTGGGGCGCTGGGGGGGGGGGGGGGGGCACGTGTGCCGCTAATGACACCCACGACACGGTACGATAGTGGGACCGGCGCATAATGCATGACAAAGTACCGACACCGACTGGCTCAAACATGCACCGACGCGGCCACTGACGCAAAGCAGAGTGAGTCCGGCACCGACGCGGCCACTGACGCATAGCAGAGTGAGCCCGGTACAGACGCGGCCACTGACGCATAGCAGAGTGAGCCCGGTACAGACGCGGCCACTGACGCGTAGCAGAGTGAGCCCGGCACCGACGCGGCCACGGACGCGTAGCAGAGTGAGCCCGGCACAGATGCGGCCACTGACGCGAAGCAGAGTGAGTCCGGCACCGACGCGGCCAATGACGCATAGCAGAGTGAACCCGGTACAGACGCGGCCACTGACGCGTAGCAGAGTGAGCCTGGTACAGACGCGGCCACTGACGCATAGCAGAGTGAGCCCGGTACAGACGCGGCCACTGACGCGTAGCAGAGTGAGCCCGGCACCGACGCGGCCACTGACGCGTAGCGGAGTGAGCCCGGTACAGACGCGGCCACTGACGCGTACCAGAGTGAGCCCGGTACAGACGCGGCCACTGACGCGTAGCAGAGTGAGCCTGGTACAGACGCGGCCACTGACGCGTACCAGAGTGAGCCTGGTACAGACGCGGCCACTGACGCATAGCAGAGTGAGCCCGGTACAGACGCGGCCACTGACGCGTAGCAGAGTGAGCCTGGTACAGACGCGGCCACTGACGCATAGCAGAGTGAGCCCGGTACAGACGGCGGCCACTGACGCGTAAGCAGAGTGAGCCTGGGTACAGACGCGGCCACGGACGCGTAGGCAGAGTGAGCCTGGTACAGACGCGGCCACCTGACGAATAGCAAGAGTGAGCCTGTACAGAACGCGGCCACTGAACGCATAGCAGAGTGATCCGGTAACAGACGCGGCCACTGACTCGTAGCAAGAGTGAGGCCGGGTACAGACGCGGCCACTGACGCGTAGCAGAGTGAGCCCGGTACAGACGCGGCCACTGACGCATAGCAGAGTGAGCCCGGTACAGACGCGGCCACTGACGCATAGCAGAGTGAGCCCGGTACAGACGCGGCCACTGACGCGTAGCAGAGTGAGCCCGGCACCGACGCGGCCACGGACGCGTAGCAGAGTGAGCCCGGCACAGATGCGGCCACTGACGCGAAGCAGAGTGAGTCCGGCACCGACGCGGCCAATGACGCATAGCAGAGTGAGCCCGGTACAGACGCGGCCACTGACGCGTAGCAGAGTGAGCCTGGTACAGACGCGGCCACTGACGCATAGCAGAGTGAGCCCGGTACAGACGCGGCCACTGACGCGTAGCAGAGTGAGCCCGGCACCGACGCGGCCACTGACGCGTAGCAGAGTGAGCCCGGTACAGACGCGGCCAACGCGGCCACTGACGCATAGCAGAGTGAGCCTGGTACAGACGCGGCCACTGACGCATAGCAGAGTGAGCCCGGTACAGACGCGGCCACTGACGCGTAGCAGAGTGAGCCTGGTACAGACGCGGCCACTGACGCATGGCAGAGTGAGCCCGGTACAGACGCGGCCACTGACGCATAGCAGAGTGAGTCCGGCACCGACGCGGCCACTGACGCATAGCAGAGTGAGCCCGGTACAGACGCGGCCACTGACGCATGGCAGAGTGAGCCTGGTACAGACGCGGCCACTGACGCGTAGCAGAGTGAGCCCGGCACCGACGCGGCCACTGACGCATAGCAGAGTGAGCCCGGTACAGACGCGGCCACGGACGCGTAGCAGAGTGAGCCCGGTACAGACGCGGCCACTGACGCATAGCAGAGTGAGTCCGGCACCGACGCGGCCACTGACGCATGGCAGAGTGAGCCTGGTACAGACAGCCGCGGCCACTGACGCGTAGCAGAGTGAGCCCGGTACAGACGTGGCCACTGACGCGTAGCAGAGTGAGCCTGGTACAGACGCGGCCACTGACGCATGGCAGAGTGAGCCCGGTACAGACGCGGCCACTGACGCGTAGCAGAGTGAGCCCGGTACAGACGCGGCCACGGACGCATAGCAGAGTGAGCCCGGCACCGACGCGGCCACGGACGCATAGCAGAGTGAGCCTGGTACAGACGTGGCCACTGACGCGTAGCAGAGTGAGCCCGGCACCGACGCGGCCACGGACGCATAGCAGAGTGAGCCCGGCACCGACGCGGCCACGGACGAATAGCAGAGTGAGCCCGGTACAGACGCGGCCACGGACGCGTAGCAGAGTGAGCTCGGTACAGACGCGGCCACGGACGCGTAGCAGAGTGAGCCTGGTACAGACGTGGCCACTGACGCGTAGCAGAGTGAGCCTGGTACAGACGCGGCCACTGACGCATAGCAGAGTGAGTCCGGCAATGGCCGAATCAGGCGCGTGCCTAAGTGCACGAGCGTCTCTGCGAAGGCCAAGTACGTGCGCGACATCACGCCGGTGGTGTGCAGGTGTTCCTGGAGCTATTACTGGATCCTACCAAACAATTTGATATCCCGAGTCACGAAGGTTTCTACGCTCAACGGGGGAGTCTCATGTTTCCAACCCATAATGACTCAGAGCCCCGCCCTTGTCACCAGCGAGGCCGCGCTCCAGCCGGGTGTTATATAAGCCGTGAAAACCATCAGCAGGGCGGCCACGCCCGTACGTTGCGCCCTCAAGAGGGTGACGTATTGGTAACCACTGGTCGCAGGTCCACACCGTTTCCAGTTACACCAAACGTAGCTACAACCCGCGCCTATACTAAGGACGACAATTTTCAAAATCGATGCAGCGTAAATACTCTTAATCATAGGAGAAATGTTAATTCAGCTAGAAAAATGCATCAACATCCGATACATGCGATTGTATTCTCGCTCAGCCCAATCCCCATAGTCATCTTCAGCATTTGACCTGTTCTGGCCTTCACCTCTAATGAGCTTTGTAAGGGTCACAGGAATTGATGACGCGTGTTGTGTAACGACTTTACACCACCACGGCTGTTCAACCAGAAGTTTTGTTACGAACTGTGCCAAGAACACGTCACAACCATGTACTGTAATATTTCTGCCCTGGAAACCTTTAGGTATAAGCTTACAGCCTAGCGGCCCAGGACCATGCAAAACTTTTGTGAACACACATCTTGCATTACTCTAAAGCACAATTCGACTCAGCGTTTTCGCCTGCCTAACGAGGAGCCACACCAATGGTGAATTACATGTACATGTCATCAGAGACAGGCAACATCAGCCACGCAAGCTGCATCCCTGCGGGTCCCCCCCCCCTCTCCCTCCCTCCCCCTCGCCCTCGCCCTCGCCCTCGCCCTCGCCCTCGCCCTCGCCCTCGCCCTCGCCCTCGCCCCCCCCTCTCCCTCTCCCTCACCCTCACCCTCACCCTCACCCTCACATTCACCCTTCACCCTCACCCTCACCCTCACCCTCACCCTCACCCTCCCTCTCTATCTCTTTCTCTCTTGCTCTCTTGCTCTTTTGCTTTATCGCATCCTTGCTCTCTCGCACTCTCGCTTTCTCGCACTCTCGCTCTCTCGCACTCTCTCGCTCTCTCGCACTCTCGTTCTCTTGCTCTCTCGCTCTCTTGTTCTCTCACTCTACCTGGCTCAGCTACCACGAGCATCTCTTGGTGTCGTACCTGATTGGTGAGTGCCACGAAGACGGCCAGCAGGTAGAGGTACGAGTACCAGGCGTAGTTGGCGTAGATCTGCGGCTCCGGCAGCGTGGCGAAGTCGTACGACATGCAGAACAGCGGCAGCAGCGTGAGCGCGATGTTGTCGCCGTTGGTCTGCACGAAGTCGTGCCGCGTGATCGACGTCGGGTCGATGTGGTGCTCCCGGAACGGCCGCAGAAAGTTCTGCCGTGGCGGACATCGGGTCACGGCTGGCGGGCACGGAGTCACGGCCCGAAGACGCGAGGTCACGGTCGGAGGACACGGGTTCACGACCGGAGGATGCTGAGTCACGGCCCGAGGTCACGGGGTCACGGCTGGCGGACACGGGGTCACGGTCGAAGGGCACGGGGGTCACGAATGAGACACGGGGTCACGCCCGGGCGATACGGGGTCATAGGGTCACGATCGGAGGATACGGGGGCACGGCCCGAGAAGGGGTAACAGCCGGAGGGTACGAGGTCACGTACCAAGGAAACGGGGTCACCACCCGACGGTACGGGGTAACGACTGGCGGACACGGGGTCACGGCCAGCAAGGTCAAGGCCGGAGAACACGGCGGGCAGGCATGGGCCCATGGAAATGGTCACAGCTAGCGGACAAAGCAGGCGAGGTCACAACCTGGGAGGGCGGAAAGACGGCCGGCCGACGAGGCGGGGGCCGTCGGGGCCTGCGGTAGCTGCCATACACGCTCACACCAGCCAGATGTGGAATGCAGTGCTTCGGTCAGGGAGGGACAGATGAGGCCACTGAGATGAGGTAGGGTGGCAGCATTCTCTCTCATTTACTTTATTGCACAACTCATTTTCAACACAACAGGCCTAACCCCACATGGTTAATTTCTCACTGTGTAACAATGATTTTTAACAGAACACAAATCAGTGACTTATAATCACAAATCAGTCACTTCAGTCCCATCAGGATGAATGATCTTGACAGTTCTCACCTTTCCTAGGATGGGCATGTCAATTGAGCCCCAGGTGTCCGCACCCCAGTGCACCAGCCCCGAGGCAAAATCAGCTGTCACCATTCCCAGGAGAGCACACAGCACCATAGATGGTGCTGCCTCCAGGCGCAGGTACCGCATCATCAGCAGCAGGTTTGTGGCCATGAGACCCAGGCCAAGCCAAACACAGACCACCTCTTGCAGCCTCTTCCCTGAAACAGGATCCTCTGTGTTAATACCAGACTGGTGCATGCTAGCTAGCAGACAAAGTGCAGATCAGCTGATTGTTTGTCTATTCAAGCAGATTTGTGTCCATGGGTACTTTTATTTCACTTTCATACTCCAAGAAAGCATTCAGACATGCACCTGCATACCAAAAGGCAAACTGGATTCAACAGGAACCCTTGACCAAGTTTGACCCTGTACCCTGGGAGTCTTTTAGTGAAAGCACAGAGTTGAAGATACAAGCACATGCCTGATGAATGTTTTAATACTGGCTCGAGCTCTCTGCTAGAAAGTTTCATAAAATGAAACAAAACCAGCACCAACTAAGGAACATTGCATTTAGGCTGATGAAGAGCATATGAAACTGCAGCCTTCCATGTTTGATGCACTATATTCTATGGTGCCAATCAATTCCGCCATAACAGCAGTGCTGCAAAGATGGTGCTGGCTGCTCAGTCAAGTCTTCACAGCATGTACTTTTAACTAAATGTATAAAAATCAAACAGGTCAAATAACTGAGATGTTGAAATACTGAAATAATGGTACCAAATGGTAACCTGTATGCAGCTTATGATCTACCCTCCCAGCACACCTAACTTGTGAACAGGTCACAAAGAGCTCCAGAAAATATTGTGTGCATGAGCACCCAGAGCATAGAGTCATATAATGCATGAACACCCAATCATCAAGTTGCTGATTCTCCTGGACTTTCTTTAAATAGAAAAGTTCATTATCTGCTCCTTTTCTTCAGCTGTTATGTTCCTATTCAAATAGGCTAACTATATGACACTAATCCGGAAACTGCCCAGTTAACAGCTGTGGCTCATTAACATTACTTGAGCATATAAACATGGAGTAAAATTGAATGGCTTAAAACATTGTTAAGTTTACTTTACTTTTACCCTACATTTAAGCAAAATATTTATTTTCAAGCATCCAAAGCAGTAAATCCAATATTTTACAGCACTTTTAAAGCACATCCCAACTTAACACATTTCCAGTATGGTTCCTACTTAATTTTATATCATAACAAGTCATTTTGTATATATGGTCAAAAACTTAAACAACTTTCCCATTCATGTAGTTACACCTCCTAAAAATGATGCACTCAGCAACTGTTTGGACAAGCACTGGACATACTATGCCATTACCACAGACATACCATTACCACACCATGCCAAAATGTCCAAAGCATGAGTTTCAGTGTTCATGTTTCGTGAATGTACAGTCACGAGTATGGTGCCTCCATGATTAGCTGTCTTCCAAATTCTTTGATTCCTTTTGGACCCTTCCCTTCTGCACATATTATTATATTCATTTTCTATTATATATATATATATGTATATGTATGTTAACGTACCATGACTATTTTGGTATATCAACCATACATATATAGGCATTTTTAACAGGAGTATTGGCAATGCTTACTTCAGAACACTAAGCAGCGTTTTATAACCCAACAGGCATTAGCAAAATTCCCACCTAAGATAAAACGATTCCCATTAAAAAATCTCACCTGATGTGTAGAGGTTTGCAAGTTCCTTTGCACCCTTGTGATTCGGACCCCATCTGGGCTTGTTTTCCTCTTCTTTGGTGATATCAGTGTTGGAGTTTGGGTCTCCTTCTGGCATGGAATTTCTGAGAATCTCGTTTTGAGATTTTTCGCTGGGGAACCCTTCAGTTTCATCCATTGTGCCACTCTGCACGACAGCGTTTCCACACACCACCACTCCCCAGCACCACTCACAGCCTGACCGACGCCCAGCGCCTGCCATGCGCTCCCCCTCCTCGACCTCCACCGCCGACGGACCACGAAACAGCTCGTTCAAGCCTGCGTGAAATGGAATGCACTTATGTACTGCCGTAGAGAAATAGGAACAATTTTTTAGCCTCATGAAAAGCTTACGCAAATTTGATGCGTCCCAAAACAATCAAGTAGTTGCTTCGCTACGTTCATGCTATTTCATAACTTTTGGAGATTATTGTCAAGTGACTCATGGTATTTAGAGCATAATTGACTTTATTATACTCAGAATATGTGCGTGATGATTTTATTGAACATCTTGCTGGTTTAAAGACAGCGTCGGCCATGTAGGTAAGCTGCTCTATTTATCTAGAAGATAGCGGCTAGAATCGGCATTGAAGTCGAATACACCGTGATTTGGTGTAATCTGCCCACGTTTCCTCATTATCACAATTTTACAATTTCATTTCATGTGATCCATAGAAGCAAAAATGTCCTCATCACGAGAATTAAGTACTTCGGCAGCTTTGCCTGGGGATCAGTTGAACTCACCGGGACGAAATCCAGTGCCAGACATAAGTGTTTCAACTTAACACCTCTTCGACGAATAGCTTGAGTTGGATGAACACCATGCCACCAGTAGCGGTGACCCAACTGTTTATTTTCCCCTGCATTCACACATTCGCATCGATAATTCTCTCACCACCCCGACATCATTTGTATGCGTAGCCGTTGACAATGTAAAGTTGGACCGCCTCTTCGGTTTTTTGACATGAAACCGTAAATTGTGGCTCCATGCCGTCTGAGGAGAGGCGGGGCATCAGCTCGGTGTCCAGTGCTGAGTCCCATCTGCACCTCCGTTACCTCCCCGTGTCCCATTTTCCGCCATCGGATATACCATCACTCCCCTGTACCATCAGAAAAAAGTACCGTGTATCCATCCATCCCATACAGTCCAATATACCATCAGTCCATCTGTCCGATCAGTTCCCTCTGCTAACAGAATACCACACTCTGAGAAACGGAGCTTTCTTCTCCACCTCACCACACGGGCTAGGAGGTCATCACATGGGCCATCACGTTGTTCTAAAATGAGTCAGCCCATGTGGGCCCCTCCTGTAGCCACCTGCATGGAAATCAAATGCTGTGATTTGAACTGAATTAGCGGTGTCTGGCTGTGACCTCGATGTAAAATGCTGCCTCATTTACGTCATAATAGGGGTACATGAGCACTTGAGTTATGGTGGACGGCCCATATGGGTGCCATTTGTAACCTACATTGTTGTCCATACTGAGCCCATGGCCCACCTGGGCCCATGTGAACCATTTTAAACCTATATGACCATACGGATGTGCTGGCTGGGATCTCTCCAATAGTCTGGCCAGTTTTCTTCTTCCCACACAGGGCCAAGCAGACACTTTGCACTGGAAGCAGCACCGGTAAGTAACGCCACATTTTGACGTAGTGTTCATCGCCTTGTGTACTACTACCACTCTCCCGCAGTCAGAAAAATCCAATGGGCGCCACTGAATTGCGTCTCTTTGAGCCCATGGCGGCCCAAGAGATTTGCAACCACCAGTTACAAAAATTATGGCTGCACATCCAGGAGCACATCCGACCCACGTGCTGGCAAAGTTCGCGCAACCTACGTAACGCGCGCTTGTATATCCCAGCCCCAAGATCACAAGCTGGGTGGATCCAAGTGTGCGATATTCTGCAAGGTTCAGCATTCGCGTAAGTCGTATGCTTCGCAATGTGGAAAGGGAATGCATGGGTTGCCGCATAACTGATCGCCTGCAAGTAACTGCTTTGTCAGTATATGACCCTCCTAATCTGGGTCTTGCAAGCCAAGCGCCAAAATGTCACATTCGCTGACTTGTGCTCGCTTGGATCCCCGGCAAAAACGTCGACAATAAGGTGACCGACCTGTTAGTACCACCGTGTACAAGCATCATTCTGAATGTAACCCATATATATATATATATATATATATATATATATATATATATATATATATATATATACATATATTATTCCCAAAATGATGACGAGAAGATAACATGTTTTCCATCAGCAATAAATCGTTAAACGGACATCCCCGTACTGGTCTTTGTAGCGCCGTACACAGAAGTTGGTTGGAAAATGGGAACAGTACAGACGAGCAACTCCGTTGCTGGAGAACATCCAACGAACAAAACCTGTGCAGTATAAAATTTATTCAGAACCATTGCAGGCATATGAACACAGTGATTATCAAAACCAATGATTTCAATGGCGACAGACCACGCCTGGGGGCTCGTCATCATCGGGTATATCCAAAGGCGTGCGACACTCGAGCGCAGGGCGCACTTCACTGCACGGTGCAACGCGCCGAGAACACTTGATTAAACACCACTAGTTTGCTGCAGTCAAAACTAATAGTAACAGCCGCTCCGCGTCGGTGAGGTATTAAATCTGACTAGTCTCCCCACCGCAAGACAGCTTAGCTAAGACACAGAATGCTGGACCAGACAGCAGCAGTACCATTTGTCGAGCGAATGCCCGAGTCGGGTGCACTGGACGCGCTGCCCACATCCCCGGCTAGATCACAGATACGACCCCCGGCTGCGGACAGCTGCCCTCTCACGCGCACGCCACTCGCGCCTCTCCACCCGCACCGCTGCCGACCGCAGCGCGCCCGGCCAGGCCCGGCCCCTAGCGCAGAGATCGGCCGCCTGAGCCTCCAACGGCGCGCACGTCCAAGCTCGGCTGTCGCGACACACACAAACACACACACACACACGCGCGCACACACACAAGCACACACTGGTATGCACACGAAGCTGGACTCGCCCGCATGGCTCTGAAAGCACGGCGACTGCCCGTCGACACCGCCAGGCCCGCGCGGCGCCGGCAGTCCGTACACAGAACGCGCGCAGACTCCTAAAAAGGTGGGCGCCGGCGCTCAGCCCGCGCGGCAGCCTCACCAGCGCGACACGCGGCGTTGCGCAGAAGCTCCCGGTCACTACTATGCACACTTCGGCAGCAGGTGGCCCAGCCACCCTCCTCGGCGCCGTGCGAAGACCAACCTGGCGGCGCCCCTGCACTTGGCGATCCCGAGACACCGGACGCCGGTGCTCCGGGCAGCGGCGGCCGTGCCTCAGCTGGCGCAGTTGACGCGGGGCGCCGCTAGGAGGCGGTCCGCGACACGTCGAGCAGCGGCCGATCCTCGCGGTCGGCGGCGGCCGGCGCGTACCGCACCGAGACGCCCAGCTCCTCCACGCCGTCCCGCCGCGGCGTGGCGCCGCCGTAGCCGCCGCGCTGCTGTTGCTGCAACAGCTGGCCAGCCGACGGCGGGCGGTGAGCACCGTACCGTGCGCTGGACTTCGGCGCGCTTTTGCGATCCGCGTGACACCGGCTTTGTTTTAGCATGCGATGATTGAAAAGGTACAGCTGGCGTAACAAACGACATATAGCATGACCCAGCATAGAAAAAGGCGTTCAAAACGCACGCGTGGCACCCACGGAAACGGCATGACAAACCCCACCGTTACACAGACAGGGGGCCCGCAACAGTACAACACCCCGCTGCTCGCGGGCACGTCTCAGATCCGACGCTAGATACGACGCAGAAGCCGTCGCCGCTGGGAGGAGCGCACAAGCCGGCCAGCCAGCGCCGCGCCCCAGCTCAGTGCCGTCCGCTCACCGTGCGCTGGTGGATCTCGTGCAAGTAGATAGCGCTGACGGCCATCTCGGCGGCGCCGAACTCGGGCACCTGGCTGCGCCCCAGGCCGGCCAGCGCCGGCGGCCGCAGCAGGGACGCCTGCAGGGCCGGCCGCTGCGCCAGGCCCTCGTGCACGCTGCCGGCACGCGCGTGCCGTCAAGTACCCGGCAACGGCGGCTGCTGCGGCACGGTATACAGCTTCTACACTGAGCACAAGGCTAGCTGGTATAAAGGTCAACGTCTGGAAACATCCACTTGAACTGAAGTGATAATGCCTTAGTACTGGTTAATGTGTGCAAATGACAACCGCCACAAACACAGTGGTGCAGAGGCGTAGAGGAGATCACTGCTTGTTCTAACATTTCGTCTTAGAAAATTCAGTAAAAGCTAGCAGCAAAATTCTACATCGATGCGCTGTTAGTTTTAACGACAAGTGGCACAGTAGGTGGTCTCGTGGATTGCCAGTGACTTTATGCATTGTTTCATGTAGGCAGCAGGCTCGCTTCTCGCTAGTGTCAGACTGAAGACGCTGGGAAACGAAGCAAGCAAGCAAGCTTTTAACTTGGTTCAATGACATTTTAACTTGGTTCGATGACGTTGGTTCGGTGACGTTCGATGACGGGCACTATTCTGTCGTGCAAGATGTTCCTGCTGTTCGTGCCAGTCAGCACGGGGCTTTGCTTGGCCGACACTAGATGGAAGCCCGACAGCACAGCCCACACGCCACGTGCCTTCGCCACTGGCCGCAACGCGTACCTGGCCAGCAGCGAGCCGCCGCCGCCGACACCAGCGCCCAGCGAACTGTCGCCCAGCCCGGCCAGCAGCGGCGTAAACTGCTGGCCCACGCTGCCCAGCGCCTGCAGCGACGAGAAGAGCGCGTTCTCCTCCAGCACGGCCGGCATACCCGGCGCCATGTTGGCCGCCTCACGCGCGCCCTGAGCCCTGCCGAGAGGGGAGGGGGGCTGTGACGTCATGGCGACGGCTCAGCGACGGTGGAAGTCTCGGAACTCACCAACTGACAGCGGTCGGAAGGGGAGCTGGGTCCAGCTGGCGTCCAGCCCTCAGGTGGGCCGAATACGTCAAAAACAAGCTGGCGCTGTACATTGTCAATACACACCGGCCCAAAATCAACACCAAACCTTTAATACGGTCATAACACCGTGCCGCGCGTTCCTCACTGACTGACCCCTGGCACGTGTCATCCGGCGGCTGTCACCATAACCCGCCGCTGTTTACAATACCGCCGTGTTGTCGCAGCCCCACCCTGCTGCGACAAGCGCACCTGACAGCCCACTGCGCCTCCCAGCGCTGTCAGGTAACGTCAGCAGCGATCATCACGGCTCCCACCGGGACGCTAGTGTCACCGTTTTTGTCGTCATTCTCGTTGATGCGTTCTATCAGTCCGTGACACGTAGAAGGATACGGACTCCAGCCAAAGCCGTCATTCACGAAGGATCCGAGAAACAGCCTATGCATCGACAGGCCGGCGGGGCTGTTCGGCAGGTCGGCCGCGTCCGCCGTCGCCGCCGGCTCACCTCAGCGTCGAGATGTAGGCGTCGGAGCCGAGCGGCGGCCGCCAACCGGGGTTGGTGATGGCGAAGTGCACCAGCGACAGCTCGGTCTTGCCATGGTCGGCGCGCGCCGCCTCACCGGCTGTCCCCGGCTCCGGCTCTGGCTCCGGCTCCGGCTCCGGCTCCCAGACGGAGCCACTCTCCACGGCCGGCCGCCACGCAGGGTGGCCATGGCGGCGCACGTCCATCTGAGCGAACGAGCAGACGTCCCCCACCTGCCGGACACGGGCAGAGGGTCAGCTGCCGTCGTGGGTTCGCCGAGATCTGAGCGAACGGGCAGACGTCCCCCACCTGCCGGACACGGCCAAACGGTCAGCTGCCGTCGTCGGTTCGCCCAGTCACGTCAGGCTGGTTGAGCCCGGCAGAGCAAGGTACGACACAGCCGCACCAGCCCGGCTGCCTGGGAGATCCGGCTACAGAAGACGGCGGTAACGAAAGATCCAATGTTTCATTCGAGTCAGTGGGCACGATAAAAACGAAGACGCGGCAATGATGAGAACACGTCAAGAGCTTGGGAAAGACCCAAAAAGTCTAACAAAACTCTTCTTCATCTTAGTTAAGATATGAGCGCAGCACAGCTGCGGTGGTCATGGGGGCTGACTGGCGGGTAGTTCCAGGACGAGGCCGCACGATATGAAACGTCCTAGCCGAAAAAGACAGCCGAGCAGCGGGCAGCTCCAAAACGCTGGTCACCGCCGACCTCGCGATGCGCTCACTCATGGCGGTCCGAGGGGTAAACAACGACCGGACCGCCGCCGGGGCACGGGGATCATTTAAGGCACTGAACACGCCAATGCGCATCAAACATCAAGACGACGCGTCAAACTTTATAGGGAACTTCCGCTTACCCCCACCACATCAACGGTGAAGTTGCGGAAGAAGTCGACGACGTCGAGCGAGCGCGGCCGTAGTCCGAAACAGAGGATGATGGGTGTAACCATGGGCGACAGCAGCTCCTCCAGCAGGAAGTACTGTCGGCGGCGGGCGGCAAGTTCAGCGGCCCGTCATCGCGGTAGGGAGCGTCGCCCCGGGAGGCAGGCGACAGGCGGGAACAGAACCCAGCCCGGTGCGAGCCCAGAGACACGGCTCCGGTCACAGCTGTCCGCGGCCAGGCCCCTCTCCACCGCCCGTGCTCGCGTTGTTAACACACACAACTCACAACGCGGTGAACGCCTCGGGCGAATTGTAAATGGTGTCCTCCGAATCTCGACGTATCTTCCCTATGCATAACTAAAGATGCATACACAGATACGGAGCAAAACAAGAGAAATGCCTACGTTCTAGATCCGTTCCAATCAATCATGCCAAGTTCGCCCTGAGGGTCGACGATCGATGCATACTTTCACAACACATGGCGTCGAGCCCGGCCGCAGCAGGAAATGAGAACGTAAGACGATTAGCGTCGTCCTCGAGCCGCGGCGCCCCCCCCCCCCCCCCCCCCTCCGACTCACGGCCTTCAGCTGGAACAGCTGGCTGAACTCGTGCATGACCTGGGCGGTGTGCGCCGCGCCGCGCCAGTGATCCGGCACATAGTGCACGTGCGCCAGGACGGCCGCCATCAGCTGCTCGGGCGCGAACACCAGGTTCTCGTCGGCGATGAACACCCTAGCGGTGATAGGGAGGTTACGCCGAACGTTACCGCCGAACACAACGGCAACAACAAGACGGGTCGAGGATGCGGCTTCAGCGGGCTATGCGAACCGCGTCGCATCCGCCGACCTAAGCATGCCTGTCGACACAGCTTCACGGTAGGTAAAACGAAGCGCAAATCCCAGTCAGCCAAAGCCCGCACATACCACACCACTGCTTCCTTCTCCTGTCAGCTGCGCGCCACTGGCCGGAGCGCCGGGCACTGCAGTGCAGACGCGCCCAGGTGCCCCAGATCTCGGACGGGCCCCGCACGGCTGACTTACCTGCAGACAGCCACCAGGCCTCCGAGCACCGTCATCAGCGTCAGCACGTGCTCCACCGTCAGCACGTCCTCGTCGTAGATGGTGAGGCCGAGCAGGACGGCCAGCAGCGCGCCCGAGACGAACATCACGTTCCTGGAGGCGGCACGGCCGGCACAACGTCAGAGCGGCCGCCGCCACGGCCGGCACACGGTTACGACGCGTGCCCCGCGCGCGGCGCGGCGCGGCCGACGCGCAGCACGCGGGAGCGATTTCGCCACTGAGAGCGCAGGTGCGTGACGCACCGCGGCGGCTAAGCGGGGCCGACCGCCGCCGGTGCCGGCGCTGACCGCGGCTGGAGCCGGCCGCCGGCGCGCCATCCACTCACTGGGCGATGATCTCGGTGAACGGCGTGGTGAACGAGTTGAGATACTTGTTAGACGCCTTGTAGCCCATGTTGAGCCGGGCGTTGAGTTCGTGGTCCAGTTCGTTGAAGTGGCGTAAGAAGAAGCGGCCGTACAACGACCAGCGCCGCATCCCCAGAGATCCAGGCTCGCGCTTGATTAGCTGCACAACCAGAGACGAAGGTCAAAAAGAGCTCTGAGAGTGATCGTGATTAACTAAACCAACCCCCAATAAATACGGATTTATGTAAAATAAAGGACATCCTCGCCTTAACTAAATAAAAAGCAACGGCACATTATGATGGTTAACATTTCACTTAATATCATACGTCCGATATGTCTTGAACATACGGAAAACTGCAATGCATACGGACAATACGCAAAACCAACAAAACGGCTGGTTCGAAAATTACTCGACCAGGCATCGGGTACTTCCGTGCACATCAGCCGATCTGCACAAGACTTACGATAATGCCCCCCCCCCCCCCCCCCCCAACGGCCAGGCCCACGGACCCACGTCGCTCCGCAACACGTACTGGGGCAATGCAGCGGCCGAGCCGAGCGGCGACTGCCAGCTCACCTCGGCGTAGTTGTAGAAGCAGTAGAGAACCTGCCAGAGCATGATGACCGGGCAGAGCAGCAGGTTGATGACACCCACCCAGAGTACGCGCCGTGACAGCTCATCGGCCAGCGCGCGCCGTTTCTCCACGCGCTTGTAATCGGCCTTCAGGTGCCAGTTGTTCTCAAACGGCGACCCCGGGCCCCCTGCGGCCGGGTTACATGGGGTCACACCCCCGGGGGCGGACACGCTCGGCGATCGGCTATAGTCACGTGGTGATGCTGGTGGGCGATGGGTAGGAACTTTGCAGGCCTTGTCGATCACATAATTTGGCGGCTTCCTTTTTGTATACGCCGCCCATGAACGTATGATTCAATAGTGTTCCATAAAACTCTCTCTCTCTCTCTCTCTCTCTCTCTCTCTCTCTCTCTCGCCTCCCTCTCTCCTCCCCTCTCCCTCTCCCTCTCTCCCTCTCCCAGATCTCGCCTCCCCTCTATCTCTCCTATCCTCCGCTCTCGCGCCCTCTCCCTCTCGCCACTTACTGATCTTGCTTCTCTCTCTCCTCTCTCTCTCGCTCTCTCCTCTCTCTCTCTCTCTCTCTCCTCTCTCTCTCTCTCTCTCCTCCTCTCTAGGCGAGCGAGGGATCTCCCTCTTCTCCTCTCTCTCTCTCTCCTCTCTCTCTCTCTCTCCTCTCTCTTCTCTAGCTCTATCCTCTTCTCTCTTCTCCTCTCTCTCTCTCTCTCTCTCTTCTCTCTCTCTCTCGCTCTATCTCTCTCTCTCTCTCTCTCTCTCTCTCTCTCTCTCTCTCTCTCTCTCTCTCTCTCTCTCTCTCTCTCTCTCCTCTCTCTCTCTCTCTCTCTCTCTCTCTCTCTCTCTCTCTCTCTCTTTCTCTCTCTCCAAGACGCACAAAACCACACATTATTATGAGATAAAAGGTCAAGTAGCGGCGGTCAAAACTAACAAACGAGAATACACCACTTACGAAAATGCAGGGCAGTCGCGCAGATCGTGTTCAGCAAACCACATGGGACATAAGGAGAAGGGTAAATTGGTCATAACCGGAGAAAAAAAATGACCCCCTGCCACGTAACCGACGCGTTCAACCGCTTTTTGGTTATTTTGTGTTAAGTGAGAAGCGTTACGGGACAAAGTTCTGCCTGCTCTGCCCTTTTCTGGTCAGTTTTTTCAAGCACGATCTCGTATTGCCCGACGGAAGCCTTCCAATCGCATGCATATCCATTATTTTATCGTTCACCAAAAGCACGGTAGCACGATTAACCCTCTAATAACTAGAAATGGACTGAAAGACGCCGGACCCTCGCCGCACTGTCCGTAACGGAGACCTCTGGAGGCACACTCCACAGCCCCCCCCCCCCCTCCCCCCGCCAACAGGGGGACGTACCGCACGCCTACTCACAGAATAGCAACAGCTCCAGGTTGTACTTGAGCCCCTTGCTGAGGTACACCACTTCACCCAGGCAGGGCACGTTGAACCGCAATGGCAGCATCTGGGGACCAGAGTGCCGGACAATCACGTGACTGCAGTCGGGGACAGTCGTGAACGGAACGCAACAGCTGCTTGGCACAGGCACATCCGCCTCAGCTCCTGGACACAGCCACATCCGCTTCGGCTGCTGGGCACGGCCACATCCGCAGCAGCAGCTGGGCACAGCCACATCTGCCTTAGCTGCTGCGTCAGGCGCCATCAGCACCCAAACGCCCGCGTGCATGCGTCTTACGGTGCCAATAATGCGCCGTGGCTAAATTGGCATAGCCAAACAACACCTATGCGACCGCCCGTAATCCCATTATGAACACTCTACAGGAATTCGGTTCAAGAAAACAATGCCCAGCTAAACATGTGAAAACTCGGCACCCTCCTGGATGATGTGATAGTTGTCGTTTTCCCAAACGTTCGCCAGCTGCTCGCTTCAACCCTTCAATTCAGCGTGGGTGATATGGGAGAGGCGTGCACACGTATATTTTACACGTGCCAGCTTTTCAGACAATAGTGTTACGTCCAGGTAAAAACGTCACGTTTGGTGTAGAGCGTTTAGGAGCTAGAACATTACATTTGAGCTGAATACGCAAATGTGAACGTTTCTGACGTTCTTCACATGCAGATAAAGAAAAGATTCTTCCTGTAAAGATATGCACTGCCTCTTTTTAAAACGCAGCACTGCTGATGCAACGTCACTTTTCCCTCCCACCTCTCCCCCCCCCCCCCCTACCCCTTTATCTCGGTACACAACGCCACAGTCCCACACACACACCGTCTTATCATTACAAACACGGCTGCCCTGGACTTTGAACGGGGCGATACCCGGATAGCGACCATTGACGTTACAGCGGCTCCCCGAGACTCACAGCTCACCTGGCAGCTGTAACTACGCACGTGACAGTAGAAAAAGTCACCGTCGTGCGGGAGGGTGATTTCTAATGACGTCACCTTCAGAAAATCGCGCGCAGCAACAAAACGGCGTAATACACAACGGCGCCGTAGACCGAGACCCACCACTCCGCTACATTTAAACTACACGCCCAGGACCCCTCGTAATCAGAGGACGCGACGCACCGTAAACGGGGCAACGAACATTCTTCCAAGGTACGGGCACATGGCCATTTTTACTTCCTTCTTTCAGGTCAGTGCCGTTATAGCCAATGTTAAACTATCAAGGAGGCGCTCAACGAAGTTGGGGAAGGGCTCAGCCATCTGACCCCCCCCCCCCCTAGTTTCCGCGCCCCTATCTCGATATCTACGTAACGTGCCATGCCGCAACTATGCACCGCCAGCCCCGGCAGCTGCACACCCCGCCATCCCGCCGAGCCCCCGGCGCCAGCTCCACCAGTACCCCCGGGCCACCTCCTCTTGGCACCTCCGCGGAGGTCAGGCGGCACCGATTTCCCCCCCCCCCCTCCCCCTTCCCCCGGTCACCTCTCAACACCGCCGCGGGGGTCAAGCGGCGCCTGTCCCCCCCCCCGGGTCATCTTCTCTCAATACCGCCGCGGAGGTCAAGCGGCGCCTGTCCCCCCTCGGGTCATCTTCTCTCAACACCGCCGCGGAAGTCAAGCGGCGCCTGTCCCCCCCCCCCCCCCGGGTCATCTTCTCTCAACACCGCCGAGGAGGTCAAGCGGCGCCTGTCCCCCTTCGGGTCATCTTCTCTCAACACCGCCGCGGAGGTCAAGCGGCGCCTGTCCCCCCTCGGGTCATCTTCTCTCAACACCGCCGCGGAGGTCAAGCGGCGCCTGTCCCCCCTCGGGTCATCTTCTCTCAACACCGCCGCGGAGGTCAAGCGGCGCCTGTCCCCCCTCGGGTCATCTTCTCTCAACACCGCCGAGGTCAGGCGGCGCCTGTCCCCCCCCCCTCGGGTCATCTTCTCTCAACACCGCCGCGGTCAGGCGGCGCCTGTCCCCCCCCCCCCTCGGGTCATCTTCTCTCAACACCGCCGCGGTCAGGCGGCGCCTGTCCCCCCCCCCCCTCGGGTCATCTTCTCTCAACACCGCCGCGGTCAGGCGGCGCCGACCCCCCCCCCCCCCCGGGCCAACTCCTCTCGACACCGCTGCGGAGGCCAGGCGACACCGACGGCCGCAGCCGACCAGGCTGATGATGATGATAATGATTTGAGGTTTTAGGGCGCATTGACTGCTGTGTAGTTCATGCAGCGCCCAAGTGGGCACAACCACAGCGGCCCAGCGCCCGACCAGGCTGCTCACCTGCTTGTTCACCATAGCCACCATGTAGTTCTTGAAGCGCAGAATGCGGTTGTAGATGTCGAGCTCGGTGAGGTCTGACTTGTGGATGCACATCTGCTGCTCCTGCTGGACGTCCCGCAGCCGCTGCTGTACCTCGTACCAGGTGCGGTTGTCCAGCTCAGCCTGCGGAGGCGGCCAGGGGCGTCGGTCGCCGACGCTCGACCCCACGCGGCGGGGAGGGGCGTTTAGAGAGCGACACAGAACATCGCCAGATGACCCGCGCGGGCGGGCGTCACGGATCAGCGCTGATTTGTGATTGGTTCAGGGAAATTACCATCAGCCGGACAGATGAACCACCAGGAACGCCCAAAGCACGATATGCCATGACGTCCCAGGAACTGTTAGGATAAAATGTCGCCACGTCAAACGAAATGTCACCATGTCAAAACAGCGCACGGCATCGTCCTTTTACAGCAAAATGCCAGTATAACAACGCGGCAAAACATGCTGGGAGACAGTTACAGTGTCGACAGACCAGTCACGCGCCCCTTCCCTTCAACGCCGCCGTCATCCAGCCTCCCGCCCTCCTTCTCCGTCACTCACATCGCTGATGCCGAGAGCCACGTTGAAGAAGACCTTGATCTCCCAGAACTGGAGGAAGTTGTAGCAGACCTTGATGAGCCGCAGGAGCCAGAAGAGCGCCGCCACCAGCAGGCAGACGACCACGAGAGCGGGCGGCCGTGCCATGCACTGGCCGGCCGGCAGCAGCACGTCTAGCAGCGTCGTCTTGGCCCGGTTACCGCTCCGACTGCCCGGCCGGCGGCGCCGCGGTCAGCACGGCACAGACAAGGGGGACGGGGGCAACGGGGACAGGGGATAAGGACGGGTTGAGAGGGGTGGAACGTGGCTCACGAAAAGGGAGACACGAGCGCGGCAATGGCCGAGAACGGCGGCGGACGTGAAGTAGACAGGTGGACAACTACTGGCACCTACTTATAATGGGCCGAGGAATCGTCATTTAATCGAAGAAGAAGAAAGCAGATGCGCGTCTGATGTGGTATTAGAGCTGCCCAGGTCACGTATTATAAAGATCAATAAATGATGGTTCGACTCCAGACGTACCAAGAAACCATCACGTAAATAATGTGACGCCATTTAGTTGATAACCTCGTCTCAGGCAAAATTCAACTGCATGTGGTGCTTTACCGTTCGCAATTTATCGTAAGCTCTGTCAAATTTCATTATTCGGGAAAAAAAGCACCTTGTCCAAGTCAACAGCGTCATGCAGCTAACATCGGGCAGCTTCTGTCACATCAGAGAGCAAATCAGACCATCCTCTTGGATCTTATCGACATCTCTTCGTGTATGACCTTATCGAATTGCGTATACTATCAGCGTTTGAACAGAATGCGATGGCCGTTTGGGAATAAGCAAGTCCACTACTACGTACTCAGACCGATGACATCCGCCAGTAGCCGGCGCCGCCCGTCTGGTTGGCAACTCACTTGAACAGCAGGTCGTAGTCGACGCACGTGACGAGAAACAGCGAGAACGTCACGACGAAGAAGAACTGGAACAGCTCCAGGCACTGACGCGTCATCATACAGAGGAAGCCGTGCTGCTGGTGGTACTGGTAGACGCGCGTGAAGAACGTGTCCAGGTCGTCGATGTGGTTCCAGCGCGCTGTCGGCAAGAGCGAGGCAAATCGGCGCCGGGGGCGAAGCGCGCCGGCCGCCGACCGGGCCACAGAGCCGGCCCGAGAGCCGGCCGGCGAGCTGGAGAGCGGCGTCTCCGAGTCGCCGCCCGAGCTGACCACGCTGGTGAAGGTGACCTCGCGCCGCAGCCGGGCCGGCGGCGCGCTGCAGCCCTCGCTGGCCGTCACCACCGAGCGCGAGCTCGCGAACGAGCGCGAGCTGTCGCCGGAGCGGCGCGAGCTGTCGCCGAAGCGGCGCGAGCTGTCGCTGGAGCGGCGCGAGCTGGCGCCGGAGCGGCGCGACCCGGGCATGGCCAGGCGTCACGGGCAGCGGCGAGGCAGCAGCTCGTCTCTCACTAGCCTTCAGATCATATGAACAGCACGCGGCGGCACAACAATCACAAATAATACAGAAGTGAACACTGATTCGAAGCCAGATTTTTCATTGAGCACGCATCAAACGGCAAAAAGGTCTTTCAACAACGCTAAATTTGATCAGGATAGCGGAGCACACGGTTTTCTACTTTACTCTTGCTATTAGGCACAGAAGAGACCGGCTTGTGCAAAGGGGCTGTTTGTTTCCTTGGCACACCACAAAATTTACCGACGAACCGTTCTGAAGAAATGTTTCAAAGAAATTATGGGCCTTTCTTCTACAAGCTTAAGATTTAACGAAATAGTACAACTCGACACATCATGTGCCAAATTCATACTTCGCATACGTTGAAGCCATCTGCATAAGCATGCTTAATTCCAAAACATATCACTGCTGAGTGCTAAATGTGTTCCTAACGAAATGCATTAGATTATCACTTTCATTGTTATAAATGTCTTCACCGTTTTACTTCAACCTGATTTTCTGTGTACAAAAATGTGTGAATTCCCCCCAATGGGCTTCCCAAAATCTACCGCAGGGTCAGTCAGGTTTAGGTTTACTATTTTGCCAATTTAGGTTCTTTACATAATGATAGTAAGTGAAAGAAAAACTTGGCGTCTAAAAAATACGGCATGTCTTGCCATCGCACGGTTTTAAAATCCTATCCAGCAAACCTCACGGCTGAAACGGCCTTCCGTACAGCAATGGCACTATCAAACGGCACCCTGCAAAACGATGCTCGCATTTGCATACGGAAGTGGCCGCATCGCATCGGGGCCGGCACGGCCGTCGCTGATCAGCATCGCAGGCTAGCTTTCTCCCGGAGCCGCCGCCGGCCGGCCGGCACCCAGCCAGAGCTGACCCGCCGGCCTCCGCCGCGTGGCGGTCACGCCCACGCGAGTGCCGGTCCGACTCGCGGGGCGGACTGCGGCGCCGGTCCGGTGTGTGGCTCAGATCCAGCTCTGGTCCACGCAGGGGACGCGCAAGACCGTTGGCATCGGATAATGACTTGGATAGCGTGACCAAGAAGTGAGAGCGGCATCTATTCGGGCACAGAACAGTGACTTTGCCTTTGGTCGGGTATGGAAGACTGACCTTGGTTCTGGTTGGGCACGTGACAGTGATCTCGGTTCCAGTCAGACTCATATGAATGACATTGGTTCTGATCAGGACGTGATGCTGGCCTTGGTTCTAGTAGGAGACGTGAGACTGACCTTGGTTCTGGTCGGAGACGTGAGACTGACCTTGGTTCTGGTTTGGCACGTGAGACTGATCTTGGCTGTGGTCAGGGAGGCGAGACTGACCTTGGTTCTAGTCGGGGATGAGACTGGCCTTGGTTCTGGTCGGGGATGAGACTGACCTTGGTTCTGGTCGGGCACGTGAGACTGGCCTTGGTTCTGGTTTGGCACGTGAGACTGATCTTGGCTGTGGTCAGGGAGGCGAGACTGACTTCATTCTGGTCGGGGATGAGACCGACCTTGGTTCCGGTCGGGGATGAGACTGACCTTGGTTCTGGTCGGGCACGTGGATGACGTGTGCCGGCCGCTTGGGGAAGGTGCTGCTGGGCGGGCCCTGGTAGGCCTCGCTCTCCAGCGGCCGGTAGTTGGTCTCCAGAGGCATGGTGGCCTCTTGGCTCACGCCGATCCGTGAACAGTCACTCTGAATTTATTCCGCGCATGACAACTCTGTGAAAGGAGGGGAAAACAAGTCAGTCGGGACGCACAGACGCGCAAAGTAGTAGCTCGCGTCCCACCGTCATGATTTAATATCATGCCCCTTTCTGCATCATCTCGCGGTTCCGGTGGTCGGTTTTCCATTCAGCAAGCAGGTAAATTCCAATGAGGTAAGGGAAGTCTCGACCTGCATCTGGAGTTAAGAACAGACATAACGATCACGTCGCACATGGGGATAATCGTCATCATACTACTATAAGGATCTAACAAGCAAACACGATCTAGTTTCTGGGACAGAAAGCATTCATTTCGGGATATATTCAATTTCGTTTCAAGCGCCAGCTAACCAGCTAATCGGCTACAACACAGAGCGGCGAGAGGTGCCCTTTACTGACCGGATCCATGCCGTGTCACGGTCATAAACGTCACAACAGGGGGGGGGGGGGGGGGGGGGGGGGGCAGGAAGTCCATGGTCCTTTATTGGAAGTCCACTAAATATGCAAGTTTAACATTAGCCCCGAGGCGATGCGCCGAAGTCAGATGTAGTAAAAATGGGTTTGGCCACCGCATTTTTCCAACTGTCGGCCCGCCCTGGCCGCGGCGGCCACGCTCTTGAGCGTGATTCGTTGGAATATATATTCGTCACGCGCAGTGCGATGGGATGAGGTTGAATTACATGGCGGTCTTAGTATTTGCAGCGCTTTGCCAAACAAAACAATCGCAAGAACAATCGCACCACGTTTTGTTCAGTCACTTTCCCTCTTAAGTGCTTCGCTGCGTTGTTCTGATATCTACTTAGCCGCTTGGTCCTGCTGGAAAAGCCAGACTCGAAATCTAGGGGCACCGAGCATCAGACACCCGCGTAAAACCCAAGAATGGATTCTGAGATCACTAGAGTTATCAGCCGAGAATCCCAGTCTTCCGGAATTCCCCCATCTCCTAAACAATAAAAAATGACATCTACATTTAGGGGACCCGCTCACGTGCCTCCTGAATACGAGTCCCACTCCCAGGCCGATATCGGGAGGAGGGGGGGGGGGGGGGGGGCGCTCACGTGCTTCCTAGGTATGAGTCTCACTCCCAGACCCGTATCGGAGGATCCGCTCACGTGCTTCCTGGGTATAAGTCTCACTCCCAGACCGGTATCGGAGGATCCGCTCACGTGCTTCCTGGGTATGAGTCTCACCCCCAGACCGATATCGGAGGACCCGCTCACGTGCTTCCCAAGTATGGGCCTCACTCCCTGACCGGTATCGGGGATGGCGAAAGAGCCAGGCTTTTGGTTTCCAAGCTGATCCCGAAGCCAAGACAATGACATGAAGCAGGAGTGCGTGGCTTCGTATATAACAGTGAAGCCAAAGCTGAAGTCACTGGCTTCATATTTTCGAAACACGAAACCTAATCAGGAGGGACAACTCTGAAATTTGCACAAACGAACCCGAAACCGAAGTCAACGGCTTCAGACTTAGCAAGCGTCAAGCCAAAACCGAGCCGATCACTTTAAAAAGCACGAGGGCCGATGCTGAAGCCGACCTGGTGCGCAGCGTTCCTTTGCCAAACCACACCGTTTTGGAGTCAGCTAAAACTGTCCGAGGTGGGAAAATGTAATCAGGTGGCCACGAGTATTGCAACCACGGAGGTCATGTAGTATGCTGAGGTGGAACGACAATAGGTCTACTTTTCACAAAGTACAGTCGCAACAGATATTTTTTAAAACATGATAAAGCCAAGGCTTGCAATTCAAGATCACATGAAGTCGAAGTCGGCTATAGCTCAAAAACTGTTTGAAGTTGATGCCCAAAACCAGCTCTTGAAAATAGCATAAAGCCGAAGCAGATGTAGCAGCCGACAGATTAAAATTACCCAAACCTGATGCCAAACCAGAAACCACTGGAGGAAAATTGCCACTTCGCGAAGCACACAGCGAATGGGAAGCTAACTTCGTTCCCACGCCTGTCGGGTATGCTGCCCGCATAACCAAAATAAAGCCGGCTCTGACAACCGGCCCTGGCTCAATCTGGAACTCGGAGGCAATTCCCATAAGAAAAATCCCTCTCCCGTCCTGTCTGACCAAAAGCGAAAAGCGAGAACGAAACTTTTTCCTTCAAGAGAAAACTGCCAGCAGTTAGTCATTCAAGCATAAAACTTTTCTTTTTTAAATTAATCATAAAAGCATATTTGGCTGGGCAAAGAGCATGACAAAATTATCACAGAATACAACCACACTCTTTGCTATGCTTACTTTTCCCAGACACGTCAATGAAACAGCACAACCATCTTCCTTGAATAGGATTCTGAGTGTTGTTCCTCCCTTCTCATCAGCACAGTCGTATTACGACCAAGCGTATCACGCAACCTACTTCACCTGGGGTGACACACCTGGGGTGACGCCAACTGATCCACTGGCCACTCTGACCTGGAATCTCACATGACCTGTATAGCCTCACGCCCTTATGCGCAGGTCAAACCAACCCTTCAGATACACAGTCAGCTGACTGGAATGAGCAATTTGTTTAGTAGCTGCGTTGTGCCTCATGCTCTCACTCGGCTAGCAAACTGCCTTTGTCACCCAACAGCACCCCAAGGCATGGTCAGTAAGATAGGGATGGGGGCCTTGTGCTGGGTCTGTACTAGTGGTGTCATTCAATACTGGATGTGATGCTGAAAACATCTCTGCAGGTTTTAGTAGATTGCAGCACATACCAACTCGATGATCTGTTGCTCTTTCAATCTCATTAAACTTGCTTATGCCAGGCTGACCAAAATGAGTGCAGCACTGCTGCTGGTGACAAATTAAACTTTGTGGACTGGAACCTGCATTTAGCACGCACCCAGGCGGCCGGGCTAGATACCCTTTGCTCAGGTGGGGGGGGGGGGGGGACAATTTGACTCCCCCTGAGATCTTGGGAACTAAGAAAGCTAGAGACAACAAATTTGCAGGGTGTGTTGACCTGTATGTGAACTCACCTAGGTCACAGTTTCAGGTTCCTAGGTCATGGCCTTTGGGTCAAAAATGGCCAAATGAGGTCAAGTTCCAGGTTGGTCTTCAAAGTGCTCCCAGACCCTGGATATTCAAAGCAAAATGTCACATAATCATTCAAGGTCAGTGATCTTGATTGACCTTTTTAGGGTCAAGGTGACCAAAATTATGCAAGATTGCTTTGAGCTTTGCATTTGACTAAGCAACAAAGATTGCACTAGGTAGTATGTTCCTAAAACAAAGTGTTGACCTGGGTCATTTTAGGTCAATGACCTATTCTGACCTCCAAGAAGTCCATGGAAGATGTAATATGTGGTTTATGCTATCAATAAATTTGAAATGAGCACTGAAAACTATCCCATACAGCAAGCCTTAGAGTAACAAAGCAGGTTGCACTTGACCTTGGTGACTTTTATACCTGACCTTAGGTTGATACAATTTGCTCATTCAACTGTTGTGTTGCCTAAGCAAGCATCTCAGAGATGCATGGCTTCATCCAACACTCCATTATTAGATCAGATTGAAGGATTCCCTAGACATTGCCTTTGCTGAAACCCTGGCCTGACTTTGATCTGCCATAGGTCAGTGACCTTACAAGGTACACCTAAATTTTGTATGCTAAATGATCCACTATTCAAATGTCTACAGCTATACAAAATTTGCTGCTGCTTCACTGAGCCATTCAAAAACCATTCTGGAAAAACCTTCAGGGGGGAGGCAATTTGACCCCCACCCCAGCATCTGTTCAGCAAAGAGCCTCCTACCCACATAGTCATGCCAACAGTGCTTCCAGTACTGGCCTTGCCTGTGCACAGACCGATTTGCCTGCTGAGCACTGGGCTTGAGCAGCTGTGGTTCAGGTGACAGCCTGAGGCCGCCTAACAGGCCAGCCTGCCACACCATAACTAAATGCCCTCCAGACTGCAAAAATGCAATACATGACACAATCTAGTGTCTCACAGCAGGGTGGCAAAATTGAGCCATAAATTTCAGAGTGCTGTTAGCTGTAAATCTCAATGTCCTGAGCCTGGTGCATGACTACCACTGGTTTCAGAGTGTTGACAGCACAGTTTTCAATAAATTGCAATGTTGTAATAAAAAATCAGGCTAGCAATGACCTATTACAAAAAAGCCCTTTTACATAACAATGATAAAATTTTAAGCAGGTGAAGATGCCTCTGAGCTCAGAACACATATACTGCATGTAAAACAACTCACTTAGGGTTTAGCACATTCATATCATGACATGAAAGCATTTTACAGGCTTTGGGTGCAGTGGACTCTTTATTTTGCAGATGGGCCAGTGGGAAGCATGGATAACAACAGATGGCTTCTATACAAAAACAATGATAAAAATGTATATTATTTTACACTTGCTGATTTAGGGAACAGGTACTAGTCCACAAATGATTGGTGTCCTAGGATGTTTTTTATCAGGCTGTTTAAACCTAATCATGCCTCTGATGTTATACTTACAATTGAATGAAACATGGATTTCAATCTTGGTTCTTACCAGGATATACTTAAGTGATATTAAGTGTCAGATAAATATCATAGTTAATCATATTCTTTATGGACTTAAGAATCCAGCTAGTAATACAGGCATGGCCAAACTTGGTAAGAAAATCCTCCTTATAGTCCAGCAGATTTTAAAAAGCTTTGCTTTTGCAACAAAAAGCATGCCATGTTTATTGAGTGCCTTTTCTTTATACTGCATGTACATGATTGTGGTGTAATGCACTTAACAGGGGTTGTTGCCTAGACTGCAACAACATATCTCACACTAAACATGCCAGGCATAGCAGCAATGTCATCCAGTTTGTTGCAAGGTCACCAACAATTTCAGTGAAGAGAGAGCCAATGACTTAAGCTATGATGTTCAAGGGTAGTTTTATGCACAAATGGCCAGGAAATATTTTTAACACAAAATAAAGTGATACATAAGCATAATTTGGGATGGCCTGAGTTTGGTGAGAGCAAATCCAATGTTTCAAGCACAGATGTTGCAAAGGCATACAGTGCAGTGCATAGACTTCCTGCCGACTGGGCTCTCACCACAGTTAAAGCCAAGGGAGGACACATTTTTAAAAGGTGTTGCTTTCCATGCAAGGCCTGAAACATTGTGTTAATGCAACAACATACATTAAGATCCACCTTGCCTGAGCAACAAAGCACCAGGACAATACAACTGATATCTTACTATGGTACACGATTCATGCAGGTGTTTGGCCACAATGGGCCAGCGCATGCTTCGTTGCATAACGATTTACGGCACCTTTTTATTTCACTGCTGTGGTTACGTCTGCAGAGGCTAACTGATGTGGTTTGATGCATGCACTAGACCCTATCTCAGTCTCATAGGTTTAAAATGAAGCCATCCTCGCTTTCCAGCGAGACACAAACGGGGAAAACCCGCAATCCACGCACCCACCTTTGTTCACAATTTGCGGCGCCCTGTGTGTGTATGGCCCAAGGCCAAGCCAATGAGCTCAAGGCCAAAACAAACCCAGGATGACAATCTGTAACATTTAGTTACCAAATGTAACCGTACTTACTACAGCAAAATTCGCGTACCTCAGTCGACCATAATGCTGGTATGACACATAACGCCCTGATTTGATAACTTATTTTCCTTTCTTATGATGAATAAAATCACAAATGTGTCATGAGTACATTCCGAAAAATACATCAAAACAGTCAGAATATAGAGCAATCATGATGCATCAACTATGCTGATATTTTTGCCGTTTATATAATTAAAATGGGTGGTTATGGCGTCTAGCTTTCTTTCTACTCAGCCATATAGAGCAGAAAAATTTGGTTGGGTTTAGGCGAAAGGAATCAAAAATGGGTCTTATTGACAATATCATGTTATATGGTGATCAGCTGATTGGCTGCTCAATTTTTTATTTTGTTCGTAAAGATTCAAGTGACTTCTATGTTTAAGCTATAACCAATTAACCATAGCTCTTGTAGTATCCCTGTATTTGGTTGGCCAACAGTATCGAAGAATGAGCATGATTTCGCCATTTTAGCATCAGTTTACCTTCCGCGTCATTCTTCAGCGCGTGTCTTGCGCTGGTTCTGCGCCGTAAAGTATGGGTCAACGCATTTCAACACATCCTCGAGAATATTTACTGCGAACCGTCTCTAAGAAGGGAAATACATAAATGTGTCGAGCACAGAAGTGACATGGGTGGTACTGGAGACTTGTCCTGGTCCTGTCCTGGTCTTGCCCTGTCCTGGTCCTGGAGTCCTGGGGACATGTAAGTAAAACGGAAGGGGATCGGGCCGAGTCAGGGCTTCATAGCATAAACAAGACAAGTTCATTTTGAACAAAACCTTCAGCTCCAGCGGCATGCGTCACATCCAAGGGAGGTGGCGTATGTCACGTATGCTGGGGAACTGCAACTGGGACCGGGACTGCGACTGGCACTGAGGCTGGGGCATGGGCTGGGATTGGGGCTCTAACACGGCCAGAGGCGGAAGATTTGAGGAAGGCAGGGGCAGTGCAGTTCACTAACGAAACTGGCAAACTGCGTCAGACCCCCTAGTCTCCACAGGGGGTCCGGTTCTACCGGGCATGGTATGGCAGGGCAGAAAACAGGACCGGGGAGGGGTCAGGAGGCAATCAAACAGTATAAAACAGGCCAGAACAGATCAGCAGTTGTGGCAGGGCGGAAATGTATGGCGTATAAGAGCGCAGGACAGGAAACAAGACAAGCAAGATGGGACAGGGCAGGAGATAATGTCACAGGGCAAGGGGAAGATGGTAGCACAGGGCAGGAAACGACAGGAAGACAGGGCTGAGGGGAGGGCTGAGGGCTAAGCTTAGCCCTCAGCCCTCACCCTCACTCTCACACTCACTCAGCACTCAACCCTTAAGGGATGAGTGCTGAATGAGTTAAGACGGAGTTTGTCGTATAATGTAGGTTCTAGGTACACACGACGGGTTCCAGAGATGACGGACAGATCAAGACGAAGACAACAGAGCGGAGGACAGCACGCCACAGCACAATACAGCTAAGAATGGACAGAGCCAAGCGCACAAAGACGCCTCCTTCACTCTGAAGTCCTAAAAACGTAATTACATCATGCAACTCGCCTCTTGCACATCTTGCACGTTTTCGATTCGCTTAAACGACATTTGCGTACCATGCCGTCCGAGTTTGTAGTCATTTTAAGGTGAATGAATATAGTGCATATGCACCTAACCAACGCCCGCAAGCTGTCTGCGTGGAGTGAAACCCCGAATGTTTGAAATAACACCTTTTCAGCTTCACAACATCATACATACGAGGCCATGCCTCATGACAATACGAAACCTACACGGGCGTGTTCCCTGTTCAATTATGAGAACAATGGTGTATAGTTTTGCGTATTTGGTTGCATGTTTATGATGTATTGCTTCGTAAATATTACAATACCGTACCGCCACGCGCGTCTCGCGACGTCGCCGGTTGAAACTCGCTCCCCCCCCCCCCCCCCCCCCACCTGCCGTCCCCGGCCGTCCGTCCGTAGATCACCGTGCAGTGTTCCTCAAAAACCGACCCCGGTCCGAATCCACAAAAACCAGAACGTTTTACTGTCAAAACACGCGCAATAGATGCCTGAAAGGCACACGAAAATTTGGGCGCGATTGCGCGGCATCCCGGAAAAGTATCCTCGCGAAACCTTAGGGGGGGGGGGGGGGCATCGCCTTATCGGGGCATCCCCCTATCAGGGCGAGGGAAGGCACTAAGGCGAACCAGCACTTGGGCACGTCCCTGTCTCACTCCACACTTTCAGAGACATTCGTATGTCTATCCTTACCTTACTATCATAATTGATGATTCAAGCTCAAATTAGTGTCAGATCAGGACTGTTGTGCGCATGGGCACTAACACTTGAGCGCGTATCTTAACACAAAGGTTTATTCGGCACTGTCACTGGAGCAGCGAGCGGCCCGTCCGTCGCATGTGCGTGTCGCGGCGTGACACCGTGCAGGCCGTGCGTACTCGGCGTTTGCTGACATGTGCGAGCGTTCTGACGCGTGAGTTTGGCATTTCGCTTGCAGGTAAGAAATTCTGATATGGTAGCTTTTACGCAATTTTTTAAAGGTGTGCAATTTCTCTCTGCCAAAATAAATACGTGAGCCCGTTGCGGTAGGACGAAAATGGCGCCCGTGGGTCATAATATTGCGCGATGCCGTGTACATCGTTAATCGGTATATCATGTTGGGTGAAAGATTCTTCACGTGAAAGGGAAGGAATCGGGTGAAATGATGTTTGTTCGCAAGTTACAAGTAAGATGAAGTAAATAATGTTCTGAAATAGAGGCACTCGTGGGGATTAACAGATGCGTACCAAGTAGTGAAATATGTATCTAATATAGTTCGGCGTGGAGGATATAAATATAGCTTCATGCTCCAACATCCTTGCTGCCGGCGGTCTCCGCAATCGCTTTATGTTGTTGGCTGTGAAACTGTTGCCCTTTTGCCATAGAACCTAACCTCTTATCTTTCCATCCAATTTCCCAAGGCTGAGGGATGCTGGGTTGACCAGGTACATTCCACTTGACCAGTCTGGGTGTAACCAAATCTGTCCACTACTCCACGTGCTTATTTGATGTCAGTGCACCAAACTATTGCTCATAATTGTTGGCAATGATATCCCTGGCACCACAGTGTCCAAATTTTGCCATGTTTGCCATGCATTTGCTTGCAGGATAGGGGCATAACAGTTGTGTGCTGCACTTGGTAAACTGATGCTGCATGTTCAGATGGTATTCCATCAACAACATTGCTTGGCCATGTTCTGACCTGACCAAACAGTGATTTTATAATGCAAACAATTTGATTGGCAGTGCAGTTTTTGTATAATGTGAACAGGTTGAGAATATACTGACCCTGTGCTGGTAGGTAAGCATAGGCTACCAGCAATGATGTAGCCAAGTTGACTTGAGTGCAAGTGTCAGTATGGTTGATGTCCACTTGACCATGTTTGATGCTGCCGTTGCAAGACCAACATTTCATTTGCTTTTCTCCATCATCAACCAATGTGTTGCTAATATGCATCATTAATGGCTGACATTTGTGAACTTTTATTGCAAAGGTGTTGCATTCAATTGTTCTTCATTATGATGTGCTTGTTGCAGCCAGGAAAAGTACAATATCATTTTGTTGGCAACATGAGCATGCACCTGCATCGCTTGATGTCACGATGTTTAAGGTAAGATGTATCAAAATGATTTTCTTTCCTGTGATTTCTTGAACAATATTTGTCATGAACCTTAGCATATCATTTTGCATATCACTTCCACTGCAGCTATTTTCATGGGCAGCCTGCTATCCAAACTGCCTTACTGGATTCTCTGTTGGTGTGCCTGGCTATCTCACTTTATGGCTCATTTAATCCACTTCTGACTGTTTCAGTCACATTATCTGCCTGTAAAATGCTTTAGCCATCAAGCTCACCTCCACATCAGCTGCAGGCACTTGCCTGCTTTTAACAGTTTCAGCAACCCTGCTGGCCTCTGTGAGGGTCCTATTTGTCTGACCTGCCAAGCTCAATGGTTGACAGCACGGCTGCCAACTGGGAGGCTGTGGTCGGACTGGAGGTGCATGCCCAGATCCAGACGTGCTCCAAGCTGTTCTCCAGCGCCGGCACCGAGTTTGCAGCGCCAGTCAACTCTCAAGTGCAGCTTGTGGATGCTGCCTTCCCTGGGACACTGCCGGTCAGTGGCAGTGCACCCTTCTCTTGTGGCATATCAGGAAGCATGCATGCCTGGGCTTTGAACTCAAACTCGCAGGAGTTTATACAATCATAGATCCTGTGTCACTGCCGCATTTCATGTGGTCCATGTGTGTTAATTTTAAGCAAGCAGTCAGAGTTTGGGGTCTTGGGTGCACCGTCTGCCATAGGCATGGAGTGTACTATGGTGATGTGGGAGCATTTCACCGCGGATTATCGCTGGCATCAGAAGCACCCGGCAGGTGCCATGGACATGATGTGAGTCACTGTATTTACAGCTGTGATGCGTCACGAAAGCGTATCACGGAGTTGTGGCGCATCAGCCTCGTGGACCGTGACCTGTTCCAGCCGCGGTGCACCGGCAGAACGCGTGCGGGCGTCGCGTGCCGGGCTGACGACAGTCACGTGTCGTCAGGTACTGAACGAACGCTGCGTGGAGGCGGGCATCCTCACCGCGCTGGCGCTCAACATGCATGTCAACACTGTGTCCACGTTTGACCGCAAGCACTACTTCTACGCTGACATGCCAGTAAGTACGCGGGATTGAGGCCACGCCCCGCGTACTGTGCAAAGGGCCGGACGGTTGCGAACGCTTCCACGCTGTTGTCGCCTTGTTTTCGGCAGCGTCAGTTGTTGGATTGACCAGACGCGCGTCCGTGTGGCCTGGCCGGTTACCAGA